TTTATCAGTATTTAGCCAAATACTTGAGGGTGACCCTTTACAGATCTCCAGAGCTTTCTCTCTTTGTACAGCATTCTCCTCCCTAGTACTCTGCCCTGTGAAGTCCAGCTGCCTCAGTCTTCTTGGACTCCTTGTTCCATCTCCTCAACCCACAGGGCTCTGGATTCCTCCTCTCTGTGCTGAGGTCTGGCAATTCTCTCCAGCAAGTCAACTTGGGCAATTCCAGAGCCTTTATAATTTGTTTCTCTTCTCTCAGGGATCATTGTCCTGAGCTTCCTCTTGTCTAATATCTAGATATATATATTCTTCCAGAAGTAGAATTCCCATCATTGTACTACTTTTTAGATCCTTTCTCCTCTCAATTTTCTCTGCTCTCTCCTTGTTAGTAGAAAGTTGTATTTCCTTGATGACCCTTGATGTCTCTCAATCTGTTCTCTCCAGTTTTTATCTCTCTGTATTTTTGCCCTTAGTTCTGGAGGATTTACTTGACTTCTAATGAAATTTTTATTTCTGCAATTATGCGTTTAATTTTCAAAAGCACTTTCTTATTCTTTTCTTTTTAAAAAATAGCATCCTATTCTTTTTTTTTTTTGAGGAATATTAGCCCTGAGCTAACATCTGCTGCCAATCCTCCTCTTTTTGCTGAGGAAGACTGGCCCTGAGCTTCCTCTACTTTCTATGTGGGATGCCTGCCACAGCATGGCTTGCCAAGCAGTGCCCTGTCGGCACCCAGGATCCGAACCAGCAAACCCCGGGCTGCCGAAACAGAAAGTGCGAACTTAACCACTGCGCCACCAGGCCAGCCCCAAAATAGCATCCTATTCTTGTTTTATGGATGCACTACCGTCTCAAATCTTTTAGGATTTGGATTTTTGTAACATTCTCTTCTGTTCCAATATTCTATTTCTTCAAGAATCAATTTGTTGTGTTTGTCTTTCTCTTTTATGCTGCTAGATTTTCTCATTTTCTGGTCATTCTTGGGTATCCATTTATATTTAAAAGATCAAAGGTTTGTTTTTTTTCTCAAAAAGCCCCTAAAATGATTCTTGAGCATCATAACTGATGTCTTACTTAGTAGTATAAGTTCTTTCTGGGTTGGAGATAATAAAAGGTGATGAACACACACTAGTAGGCCCCTCTTCTCAGTACAACTGCTGTGACCACGGATTGTGGATGTGAGGCTTAAGAGAGGCTGTGGAGAGCCAGGTGTACCCACCTGTTTCTTATCTCATTTTACTCATTTGCAAAGCTTATTCGATGCTCCTGAAATAAACCAAAATAAAACCCCATCCTAAGCAGGGACTGAGTCCTCATTTTCCAATCCTAGGATCTGGACCAGACATTATTATCTGACTGTGCATGTACCAGTGCTATTCGTGATCCATCTGTGACCCCTAGGATCCTCTTTACTTGTTTGTGTACGTCAGCCTGCCCCTTCTAATGGCAAGTACCTGTGCCTTTGCTGGATGCAGGCCAGAAGTTCTTGGAAAGGATGTGTGGGGGTATAAATGCCCCAGCCCCCTTCAGCCCTTGGCCAGAATACTTCTGAGGAATGAGATCTACACCATTTTCTTGAGCTTTTCCCTGGGATTAAGATTTACTCACCCACTTTGATAGTTGGCTTAGTGGAAGTCTTCCCTTCCTTGTATAAGCTCCCCTCTCCTCTGGTGCTGTCCTTGTACCACCCAGAAAAACTATGTGCTCTCAATTGTCACCGCTGGATCTCCTTCTCGGGGCAATCCAGTTAAGACAGGTAGTAATGTGGGCCAAAAGTTGACACCCTTATCATACCTCTTTATGCCAAAAGCCCCACGCTTCCCTCTCCCAAAGTTCATTAAGAGAGTCTGGTGAAGAGGGGCCAATTTCCACTCTTGTGCTTCCTAGGCTGTGTTTGACCCTACTTATGGCAGGAAGAATTCAGGCACCCTAAATGTGGCAGATTTGTTTCTGAGACTGTTAAACCACAACGAACACAAACCTGCAAGACCAGTTGGGATGTAGGCTCCAGCTGTCATAAAGAATCTCTTGTGCTGATGTTGGGGTTTCATATCCGTTTATCTCCCCCGCAATAGGGTCCTTTCCTACTCCTGCAAAAATAGAAAGTCACAGTAACACAGAAATCTGCAAATTTCGTTATCAGTTAACAACTTGTGTGTCATTTAAGGCAGTGGTTCTCAAATTTTAGTGTATATCAGAGGACTTGTTGAAACACAGATGAGGAGCCGGCCTGGTGGCGCAGCGGTTAAGTTTGCACGTTCTGCTTCAGGGGCCCGGGGGTCGCTGGTTCGGATCCCGGGTGCGGACATGGCACCGCTTGGCAAGCTATGCTGTGGGAGGCATCCCACATATAAAGTAGAGGAAGATGGGCACGAATGTTAACTCAGGGCCAGCCTTCCTCAGCAAAAAGAGGAGGATTGGCAGCAGATGTTAGCTCAGGGCTAATCTTCCTCAAAAAGAAAACCCAAAACAAAGCAGATGAAAAGACAGGCATCACCTTTAGAGTTTCTGATCCAGTGGGTCTGGGGTGGGACCAGATAATTTGCATTTCTAATAACTTTTCAGGTGATTACTATTGTTCAGGGAGCACACTTTGAGAACCAATCCTTTATAAATAATTTTGATGTTCTTCTCACCGTACCTTCGATGATTATTCTGTCCCTTCTTGTATTCCTTTCGCTGACTCTTCTAATGCGATCTGTGTGGTTTTCCTGTGATTGCATTGTATCTAGTGGGCCACCCAAGCGTCTTATTAGTGATGATAGGATATTTAGAATTGTGTACTTACAGAATTATCCTCTGGCTAGTCTATTCCACATTAGCAGTTTTTTACCTCAGTAAAATATTAAACTACTTCATTTTTAATTTTAAACACAATTAGCAGTCTCGTTCTTTTCAGATGTAGCAATTAACATGTCCAAACATCTTTACAACTACAGTGCAGTTCCTGTCAAATGTTGTGAGGTTTCCAATCTCTCAGGACACTTTGTACAGGATAATGTGTTACTCTTTGAGGGAAAAACTCCGATCTCTCCCTTAACCTTGATGTGTTTGCACTGTGTTTCCCAGAATAAAGAATAAAGTCCCTGAGGAGTTTGTGCATCACAATGTTTCTGGGAAGTTCTATGGAAAGTGATGCCAGAATGAGGAGGCAGGAGGGGAAGAATGACCTCAGCTGAGAGCTGGTGGAAGGTGTGGCCAGCAGTCCAGAGCCAGGAGGGCCACCAGCAAAGCCTCACAGTGTGGGGGAGACCCAGGGGGCCCTGGCAGGTCGGAGGGGATGAGCGGGAGAGCAGGAGCAAGGCAGCTGGGAGGAGAGGGTGCTGGAGAGAAGGCAGGTGAAGGGAAGCAGTGAAGGTGTAGCGATGACCCGGTCAACGTGTCCTAAGCAATGGGGAAGCGGAAACGATGTCTCTGATAGACCTTAATCATGACATATGCTACAATTTTGTATAGGAAGAAACATTGTGGCATTCAACTGCTCTGTGTAAGAGCGAGGTACGGAAAAGAAGGTTAGAGGCTCTTTTGTACGAAACACCATTAGCTAGGTGGGGGAAGGGTCTTTACAGCTTACATCATACACACTATCTTCCATGTTGCCTTTATTATAAACCTTCTCCTTATGTTTACTAATAATTAAGAAGAAGAAGAAAAAAATAAGGCTTTGTGGAGAAATGTAATTTCTTTGATGACAAATATATAAGGTATGTTTTTTCTTGGCAATTGAGTTTGCTCAGACATTGTAAATGAACACACTTGTTATACTTAACCCACCACTGGAATCTACGACACCACCAACTGTCTGACCGCACCAGTCGTGTTATTTCAACTCATCATTGTGGTGGAGATTCTTTTGTTAGTCAGAAAGCAGTAGATTCTAGTCTTAGCTTTATTTTTACGGACTTGCTCAAAAAACACTGCCTGAAACATTCTATATGCTCATCAATGGATGAATGGATGAACAAAACGCAGTATATATATCCACTGGACTATTACTCAGCCATAAAAAGACATGAAGTACTAAAACATGCTACAATGCAGATGAACCTCTAAAATTTCGTGCTAAGGGAAAGAAGCCACACATAAAAGGTCACATATTGTATGATTCCATTTGTATGAACTCTATCCAGAGTAAACAAGTCCATAGAGACTTGGCTGCCCGGGACTGGGGGAAGGGAGAAGGGAAGAGATTACTTAATGGGTATGGGTTTTCTTTTGGGGGGATGAAAACGATTTGGAACTTGACAAGAGTGTTGGCTGCATAACACTGTGAATGTACTAAACGCCACTAAATTGTATACTTTAAAATGGTAAGTTTTCTGTTATATGAATTCCACCTCAGTTGGAAAAAAAAAGCAAAATATTGCCTGTGGCACATCAGATTCAAATATAATGTGAAGCTTTTTCTTCCATGGCAGGCCCTGAACTTCACTCTGCCAGAGCACCTGACGGCGAGTTTCCCAGATGCTCCTTCCAGCACCTTGCAGCTCCCAACAGAGGAGGGGAGCCTGAGAGATGTAATAAGAACCCTGGTACGAGCCACACCCTGTGACAAAGACAGAAGCACGGGGTCATGGGCGGGAGAGAGAAAGCAATGAGGGGGTCAGAATCTGCCATAACTTCTGCGTTTTAGACTGAGAGAGAATCGATGGGACAGTGCTCAAATTTCCATACGGGGCAAAAAGATGCTGTAAAGCCCCAGCTATGGGTACAGATATAAGCAAACCACAAATTGAATAATTTAAGGTTTGTGTGTGCTGATTCCAAATTGGGTACGTGTAGCGTCTAGGAATCTGAAAGATGGAAAGTCCTAGAATGCAATGCAACAACCAGTAAAAGGGATGCCGAAGACCTCGACTCTGAGTCTTGAGTCTGCCGCTAACTTACCGGATGACTCTGGGCATTCATCCGAACATTCATTCAGCAAATAGAGCTTGACCACCCTTAGAACAGTGCCTACCGCTTAATAGGTACTCAGGCGGGGCATGTAAGTCCATTTTTGGTGCACCTTCAAACGTTGGCTGGGTCCTCTTCTCTCTGGACTGCTGTGGAATCTAGAAACACAGCAACATGTCAACATCACTCCCTGGGAGGGCTTTTCCTCCAGCCCTTTCCCCATCTAACAGTGCCATGCTGGCCCTGCTGTGGCAGAAATGCATGTGGCACCGGAATGGGGAACCAGCCACCACGAAGCACCTGCTATGCCCATTGCCACGCCAGGCACTCCGCAGATAGTCTGTAGATATTGGACACCCTGCCTGTACCTGACCCACGTTCTCTTCTCTCCCCAGTGCTGGGCCAGAGCTGGGGCTCTGGGTCCTCTGCCTGGTCTCACGTTCTTTCCAAGGGCTTTGGTCCTTCTCCCATGGGTATCATCAACGTTTGTGTCAGGGCTCAGCCGAGCTGGAGAGAGCGCTGAGCTGCCAGGAGTCAGAGTAGCTGATCAAAGCCCCAAGCTCCAAATAAGAGTAACAGAAGCCTTGAATCACTTACTGGGATGGTTTAAGCATGAGGACACCCCTGTTCTATTTCTTCCACAGAAGGTGCCCTGGTGGAGGGGGCAGGTGGATCGGCTGGGGTGGTCTCACTGTTAAGGGGACACTCAACAGAAGGCTCCTGCTGGCTTATGAATCTGGCCCCAGGGGGAGGGTGGGGCGAGGAACGGAGAAGGACTGAGCGCAAGTCAGGGGATAACAGTGTCTTCAAGGCTTTCCCTTCCTCCCCTCACAAGGAGGACTTGGCAGAGGCCCCTGGAGAAAACCTCAGATAAAGAGATCCAGGAGTGAAAACACCGGGCCGGGAGCGGACGTGTAATTGTGTGGCCAGCCAGGAGCCTAGTCCTTACTGCAGCTCCCTTCAGAGACCCCATGGGGCCTGCCAGGACAAGTCTTGTAATTGCCTGTGGTCAGGTCTGAAAAATCACACAGAAGGTTTTTGGCAGAGAGCTAGACTCTTCGGTTTCCTGTCTACTGAGGCCACCGACAGAACACAATCACGGTGTATTGTCGCTCCCTTGAAATACCCAACCCTCGACTTTCTTATTCTCCTCCAGGCACTGTCGCATTTCTCTGAGCCCTAAAGTCATACTTCTCAAAGGAGTCAGCTATGCCTGTGGTCTCAACTTCCCCACACCCTCCTCCTCACCCCTCAACTCCCTAAAATCTAGATTTTATTCTCATCAGTCCAAAGAAACAGGTCTTGCTAAGTCTCTGTGTTAGGCTGGGTGCCCTAGAAACAGACTCTGAAATGAAGATGTGTATGCAGGAAATTGATTTGGAAGTGCTCTCAGCAACAACGCTTGTAATGAGCGAGGGAGGCAGGGCTGGGCAGAGGGAGAAGCTGAGCCCTGAGGCAGTCAGAACAGAGATCTCAGCCAGACCCACAGAAAGCTCTGGAAGAGGGGTGATGCTTCAGTGTTGTCCAAGTTTAGGTAAGGGGCTGGCTTTTGTACTCCTGTTTGGAGCAGGAGTTGGGTGTGGGCTGCTCCCCAGTGTGTGTGTGTGTGTGTGTGTGTGTGTGTGTGTGTGTGACATCGCACAATGCAGCTCCCCTGGCTGAGGCCCATTTCTGGCTGGAGGCTCTGCTGTGAGCTGTCAGCTGCCACCACTGCTAGCAGCTGGGGGAATGAGTACCTCTGTCCTGAAGGGGGACCTGGACGGCACACCCACGGCCTCGGTGCCCTCATGTCTATTGCAGCATTTCCTGTCCTCTTCTTACCTAACTTCGCAGAAGCTTCAGCACGGTTGACCACTCCCTCCTAGAAAAGAGCCCTTCCTTGGTTCCCAGGAGACCACACCTTTGTTTTTTTCTTCTATCTCTCTGGCCGTTTCTCCTTATTCCCTTTCAGAGTCTCCCCTTCCTCCTCCTGGGCACTCCATTCTTCTGGTTCTTCTCTCCCAGTGATCTCACACCGTCTCACCAGTTAAAAAAAAACAATGCTCTTGGATGCCAATGTTTATGTCTCTAGCCCAGAACTTTTTCTGAGCTTCTAGCTAATACATGCAGCTACCAGCCTGTGGGTACCTCACAGGCATCTACTCGTCACAGCCACAGCAGATGTCTTGGCTTCCCTGCTCCACTGTAACTGTTCCTTCCCTGCCTGCTCTTTTCCATTTCAGAAAATGGCACCACTTCCAATCCAGCTTCTCAAAGCTGGAACCCAGGGCTGTATCCTAGATTTCTCTCTTTTACTCAGTTGCTTCTGCCTTCTCGAATGCCTCCACTGCTCTCCTGCCCCCACCTCCAGCACACCCCACCAAGGAGAGCCTCCCACTCCCTTCCCATTCCACACCTGACCCTTCCCACACCCTCCTCCACACGGCAGCCAGATGTGGACCTGCCATGACTCAGAGAGAATCCAAGCTCCTCCACGCCAGGCACAGGTGTCTTCTCTGGGTGCCATCCCCATCCTGCCTACCTCTCCAACCTCAGCTTCTGCTGCTGTCTGCAGCATCCTCGCTGTATTTAAGGCTGCAGAGTCATGGAAGGGACCTGAGTGTGGTGTCACCTCTTCCTGACGTCAGAATGAATTCAGTTAATCTCAGGAACATTCTACAGTGGGAGTCACCTGCTTTTGCCAAAGGGAGTTTGACTTTCATGGCTCAGTAATCGTAGGCAGGGGTAGGGGGATCTTGGCAGGAAGGTGTCAGAGGATGGTGGCCCTGGGCTGGTCAATGGGCTGTACCATTTAAGAGAGAGTCTGACTGCTGTCACCCACAGGCCCGTGACAGCCCACATGAGCCTCCCTCCTGGCCTTTTTCTTTCTGCCCAGGAAATTCTTATAGTCAGCTTTTCCTTTTTCCTTTTTCTTGCTGTGGCTCCTAGTTAGACAATTTATCACAGAGCTGCAAGTGGACATAAACATTTTATCCTGTACATGTAGACACAGTCAGTGAGTTTAATACTATGGAGAACATTGCTCATTTGCCTCAATTTACCTTTTTTAGAGAGAAATATCCCTGAGATCATTGCCAGTTATAGGAGTAACATGGTTAGAGGTGAGAGGTTCATCTTTCGAAATTTTCCAGGAAAACCGAGGTCTACTCAAGGAGTCACTGTCCACAGACACTTACCTGCAATGCTCCATATCTAAAAAGCTCTGAAAACCAAGTGTAGTTTTTCCCTCCTTCCTTTGGTGGCAAAGCTAGAACTGAACTCATTTGATGGCAAGCCCTTACCTGGCCCGAAGGTATTTGTGGCAAATGTGACCCAAACTGATGTAAATCCGCTTATAGTTTGAATTTTTCCTTTTAGTGTGACTATTCAAAACTTCTATCTCAGAAACGTTAATATGCTTGATTTGATTGCATCTGAAATCTTTTTCACTTTAAGAGCTCGTTCTTAGTCTCCAATTGCTCTGGGGAACCTGTGGTGTAGTTCCAAGTCGAGTCTGAAGGCCTGAGGACCAGGAGAGCTGATGGTGTAAGTTCCACTCCACGCGCAGGAGGAAAACCAATGTCCTAGCTTGAAAAAAGGCAGAGGGAATGAATTCTCTTTTAGTGAATTCTCTCTTTGTTCTATTCAAGCCTCCGATGGATTAGACGAGGCCCCCCCACATTGTGGAGGGCGACTTGCTTTACTCCGTCTTCGGAATCGAATGTTCATCTCATCCGGAAACATCCTCACAGACACGCCCAGAATAGCGTTGAGCCAAATATCTGGGCACCTCCTGTCCCAGTCCAGTTGACACATAAAAGTCACCATCACATTCGTCTCCCTTCACTAAAACAGAAGCCCTATGAAGGCAGGGACTCTATCCGTTTCCTTCTCTGTGGTGTCCCCAGCACCTAGAATTCCACCTGGCTCCAAGTGGCTGCTTAGTAACTGGTTCTTGAGCGAATGGATGAAACTAACCCATCTCTCCCTGGATTGAGGGTCTGGAGGCCCGGGATGGTGCATGTTCAGTGGGTTTGTGCCTAAGCTGGGACTCAACCCAGGGCGCTGTTATCTATTGCTGCATCAAACTTAATAGCTTCAAATGACGTTTATTATGTCATAGTTTCTGCAGGTCAGGAATCAGGCGCAGCTTAGCTGGCCCTGGCCTCTCTGTTCAAGGTCTCTCGCGGTGTCGGCCAGGGCTGCAGTCCACTGGGGGCAAATCCACTTTTAAGTTCACGTGGTTGTTGGCCGAATTCTGTTCCTTTAGGGTTGTTAGATTGAGGACCTCAATTCTGTGCTGCCTGTTGGCTGGAGGCGGCCTCAGGTCCTTGCCACGTGAGCCTTTCCGCTGTGGGAGGTTGCTTCCTCCAAGGGTGCCAGCTGAGAAGGCAGCGGAGAGAGCCTGCTAGCAAGATGGAATCATAATCATCCGTAACCGAAATACGGAAGCAGCATCCATCACCTTCGTCACATTCAATTGAGTCATAGGTACTGTCCACACTCAGAAGGAGGGGATTACTCAAAGCTATGAAGACTAAGAGATGGGGAGCAGGTGGCCATCTCATCTTTGAGTCTGCCTGTCACAGGTGGGTAGGCGCACAGACTCTGGAGCCAGGGTTCAAATCCCTGCTCTGTCACTTCTTTCCTGTGTGATCTTAGGTAAGTTACTTAACCTCTCTGTACTTTAGCTTCAACCTTTGAAAAATTAGGCAAATAATAGTATCTGCTTCATAAGGTTGTTGTGGGAATTAAATAAGGATACAGAAGTGCTTAGAACAGGGCCTGCACACGGAAGAGCTAAGTAACAATTGGCTGTTACTCCTGCTCCTTTGGGCAGGCGTGCAGCGTAACCCTTAAAGGAAGTGCAGTGAAAGCTGCCCCGTGTTTCCTCCTTCTGTGGGATTGTTCAGTCCAATCTAGACCCTGTTCATGCCACAATTTCTCCTGCTTAGAGACTTTACCCCCATAGGTTGAACTTTCTGAGAATTTTTGAGTCATAAACCAAGGGCAATAAATCTGGGATCATCAAATGCCAGCTCGTGGGTTAGTGGCTGCTTAACGAAGAGTTCTGATGGGCGTGGAAACAGAGGCGTGGTGTGGTGTCTGATGGCCCAGATCTGATCGTTGAGGTAACCAGGAGACGGAACGTGAACTTGACTCAGGAAGAAAATTACATTGAGTTTCTGCTGCATGAGACAGACTTCTTCTTTTGTTTTTCAAGGAAGTGAACTGGCTGGAGCATGGTCTGAACTCGGGAGCTCAAGATACAGACCGCAAGCTGTCTGTCCTTAAGGTAAGTCCCTTGCTGAGGAAAGTGAGGTATCAGGTTCCCATAAAAGAAGTGGGCCGACCCCCTGCTCTCCCTTCTTCCCATTTTAAGCACTAAGAAGAGGTTATAACTGGTCAGCGGGAAGCGAGACAGCCTTTCACTGCTGTGTGAGTTTCCTGGCTGCCTGAACACATTACCGCAAGCAGAGTGGTTTGAAACAGAAATGCATCCTCTGACACATCTGGAGACTAGAAGTCTGAAATCAAGGTGTGGCAGGGCCACGCTCCTTCCAAAGGTTCTGGGAAGGATTCTTCCTTGCCTCTCCCTAGTTTCTGATGGTGGCCCACCATCCTTGGCATTTCTTGGCTTGTAGACACATCACCCCAATCTCTGCCTCCATCTTCACATGGCCTGCTCCCTGTGTGTGTCCCTGTGTCTCTTCTTATCAGGACACCGGTCAATGTATTAGGGTCCACCTTACTGTAGTTTGACCTTATCTTGAGTTAACTAATTACATTTGCCAACATGCTATTTTCAAATAAGACCACATTCTGAGGTTTGGGGTAGATGTGGATTTTGGGGTGACACTATTCATCCCTGTACAGCTACTAAACATTTTCATGTATTTATCTTCACTAGTTTCAAATTACCTCTCATTATAGCACTGAAGTCCTCAGAAATCTGGAGCCACGGACAACTTATTGTGTTCCAGTCCTAGGATTTATTCTTGATTAGGACAAAGTCATGGAATGGAGTGAGCCTGTCTATGAGCAAACAACCGATGGTGATGAGTCCTGAGATGCACCACCTGTCACTGCTTCCTTTAGGCTTTTTAAACAGCTGTGTAGACTCCCAATGGGTGTTTGAGTTGGAAGCCTCCTTAGACATCATTGCGTCCAGCTCAAACTCCAACCCGGTTCACCCCTGGCTGATCGGCTTCATGCTGGGAAGGAGACCACCACCTTCTGAGCCAGCTCGTCCGCTTGTAGACCCAAGGGATTGATGGACACGTCTCTGTCCACGGTGCCGAAGTCTCCCTCGGTGCGCCCACCTCCGCTGGTCTGCCTTCTCATCAGTCTTCCACAAGACAGCCCGGGAAATCTTCAGCCCCCGACCCCCGATTGTATTCCCAGTTCCTTTAAAAAAAAAAAAAACAAAACTCCCTATCCTGTCACCCTGCTCACAATGTGCACAGGTTTTCAGGGTGGTACCAAGACTTATATATAATTTTCCATATATGGTCTGACACAGGCCCTGGACACTTAGTATTTCTCTTCCTTTTTGTTTCAAACTTTTTATTTTGAAATAACGTGAAACTGATAGGGAAGTTGTAGAAACCATACAAAGAACTCCTCTGTGCTCTTAACCCAGGTGCACTGATTGGTACTTGGTGTTTTTAGAAAACAGGACGGGCCCGTGACAAGGCTGTGAGGGTTCAGCAGATCGTCTGTGTGGCCTGTGCACTGGGATTCAGGGAATGCGGTCGCAAGTTGCATAACTTTTGGGGGACCTGTCACACACAGTTACCATGGGCTGGGTTTGACATTAAACACATTCTCCAGCTCATTTGCAATTCTTGCCTTCTTCCTTCTGGCACTCACCCATGAGAAACCTCGGTTCAAGGAGAAACCTCTGGTAAGAGAGTCTTGTTAGTTTTAGTCCATCATGGCAGCTTGTCAAAGTCTTGTTGACTGTCTCGTGAAACATGTTCATCACTCATCTTAGCTTTGTCTTATCTGCAGATTTGAAAGAAATGGCTTCCAGACCTTTATTCAGTTTGTTGATTAAATGACTAAAGGTAGTTCTGGGCACACCTTCCTTATGCTGAGGGAAGTTATTAACTGATTGTTTCTTTGGCCACAAATCCTTCTGATTCTATTGTTATTGTCTAGGCTATATTTCCTCTTATTTTGCACATGGTTATCATGAAGACATTGTTTTACATGGCCTGCTGAAATCCACATACCCCATGTTAATTGTAGCAGTTTCCAAACTAGGTTCCTTGACTAGTCTCATGAGTATTTATGGATATTCTTCCAAACATGGGTCCTCTCATCAAATGTTTAAAAATGATATGTACTAGGGGCCAGCCCAGTGGTGCAGCAGTTAAGTTCGCGTGTTCTGTTTTGGGGGCCCAGAGTTGGCTGGTTCAGATCCCGTGTGAGGACATGGCACCACGTGGCAAGCCATGCTGTGGCAGGCATCCCACATATAAAGCAGAGGAAGATGGGCACGGATGTTAGCTCAGGGCCAGTTTTCCTCAGCAAAAAAAGGAGGATTGGCAGCAGATGTTAGCTCAGGGGTAATCTTCCTCGAAAAAATATAAAAATAAAAATGATGTGTACTATATTCACCCTTTGGGACAATTCGCTACATGTATTAGCATACGATATGCTCCAAAAAGTCCAGCAATAATAATACATTTTCAAACTCATTTTGTTTGATCAAGTGCATTGCAAATTCCTCCATCAAACCATTCCCGTTTTTATGGTGACCATTTTAAGGAACACTAGTGTTAAGAGAAACACCGTGAAGGAGAAGCTGGTCTATAACATTCCACTCCTTCACTGTGCAAGTGACCCCACCCCGAGAAAGAGATGAGGTTACTTTGACAGTGTTCAAAACCATCCATTCAATAATCAATCCTAAATATTAATTTTTTTTCTGGTAAATCAGAATTAATCTTAATGGTCTATAATTTCCTAATGGTTTATAGTTGCTTTTTCCCTCTTTCTGAAAATGTGATTTTCTTTTTCAACATTTGGTGTGTTGTCATCTTCTTAATCACTGTAATTTCTCCAATCTCACTCACTGGGTTCTGCGATCACTGTTGCAAGTTCTGTTAGGCCTGTGAGGCAATGTACAAGTTGAGTGGCTTTGTCTTTGCTCTGGAGGGGTGTCTGGGTAACTCTTCTTGGTGTTTCACAGTTCTTGGCTCAGTGCTGTGTATGCAGTAGGCTCTTAATACCTGACCTTCGTTCTAGGCCAGTGTAAGACCTTTGGAAACCTGAGTCGCTGAGCATTCTCAACAAAGTCTTTAAACAATAATTAGATGTGTGGCTACGTCTAGGCCGCCAGTTGTTTTTACCTACCCTCTCTGTATTAGTTGTCTACAGCTGCCATGACAAAGTCCCACAGGCTGGGTGGCTCCCCCCACAAACACTTATTTCCTCACACTTCTGGAGGTTGGAAGTCTGAGATAAGGCATCTGCAGGGTTGGTTTCTCCTGAGGCCTCTCTCTTTGGCTGGGAGATGACCGTCTTCTCACTGTGTCTGCACATGACCTTTTCTTTATATCTGTGTCTCTCTGTGCATTCTGATCTCCTCTTCTTATAAGAATAGCAGTCATACGGGTTGGGGCCAACCCTAATCACCTCATTTTAACTTACTCACCTTTTTAAAAGCCCCATCTCCAAACACAGACACATTCTGAAGTCCTGGGAGGTTACGGCTGCAACATAGGATTTTTGGTAGGATGCAATCCAGCCCATAACACTCTGTCTTTTCTCGTTTTATTCGTCTCTTGAATCACTTGTATTTGAATCAGAATTCTGCACCTCGGGAGCCCCCATCCTGTGTGAGTCACTCAAACCCCTGATCATGGAGTCAGCCCTCTCTCCTCTGAACAGCTTCCTTCTGCCTCCCCAAGGCATGGAGTCCATGTCCTGGTCACCTGGTGTCCTGTCCTTCCCCGCTGTGTAATGTGTGATGTGGGGCAAGTCCTGAACTGCCCTGGGCCTCAGCTGCCACATCTGCAAAATGGGGGGAATAAAACGGTGCCACTGCGGCGGGAGTTGCGAGGACTCAGAACAGGGCCCAACAGAGTAAGCCCTTAATATGTGTTTGATATTACTATTATTACGATTATTATTAAGAAGCATTGTCTTTGTCATGTTCTACTAAAAGCTCAGGCCATGGAACATAGTATGAGACATAAAAATCTGACCAAAAAGAATGCATTTCAATTATTTTGTGCATATTGTAGGGGAGGAAGACATTTCCTCTACCCTCTCTGGGATCTTCTTGCCAGAGAACGAAAGAATAGCAGGAGAAAATTAAACAAAGCTTTATAACATGTATACATGAGAGAGGTCAGGCAAGCTGAGTAACTCGCCAAAATGGCTGAAGCCCCCACCTTAAATATCATCTTCGGTTAACCACAAAGGAGAATGTTGGGGGTGGGGGCAGTCAGTTACACGAGGTTACCAGAAACAGGAATAAGATTATTATGCAGATTTAAGTCTTTGCCTTTGGCATTGATTAAGAGTTTCTAGTGATAAGTCATCCCCATTCTTCCTGGTACAGAGAGGGAGGCATCTTTACAGATGGAGATTTCCTTTACAATGTAAATGTCTCCTAACAAAGGGTAAGTAAATTCTACTTTTCAGTTGCTTTCCTGTCTGCAAAGTAACCAGCCCTAAATCCTCATGCCAAAGAGACATATCTTGGGGTGGCCAATTCCAGGCCCCCACAATATAAATTGTCACCATTGAATTGATAAATTCAAGGTTATTCATTTTTTATTTCAATAAGAAAACACCTTAAAAGAATGATCTATATAAGATGTTATTTTATGCACTTCCCACATTTAATCGTTAATTGTCTTCAAGGTGGGCATCCTTTTGGTCACCTTCCATATGGTTACAGAGTAGAAAGCTTGGGCGGATAGAAGATGTTAAGTATTTTGCCAAGGCTGCTCAGCTGGTAATGACAGAGCCAGAATTGGCACACAGGCCAGGCTACCTCTAGAGCACAAGGTAACCTCCCCATCTGTAGGCGTTTCTTGTGGCTGCTGTAACAAAGTACCACAAACTGTGTGGCTTAAAATAATAGAGAGGTATTCTCTCATAGTGGAGGCCAAAAAGTCCACAATCAGTGCCACTGAGCCAAAATCAAAGTGTTGGCAGGGCCGGGCTCCCTCCAGAGGCTGGAGGAGAGAGTCTGTTCCTTCCAGCTTCGGGTAGTTGCAGACATCCCTTGACTGTGGCCACATCACTCCGATCTCCACTTCTGTGGTCACGTCGCCCCCTCCTCTTCTGTCCACATAGTCTCTCTCTGCCTCCTTTAGAAGCACACTTGTAAGAAGGGCATTTGGGGCCGTCTCAATAATCCAGTCTTTATCTCAAGATCTTGAACTTAACCCCATCTGCAAAGACCCTGTCTCCAAATAAGGTCACATTCCCAGGGTCCAGGGGTTAGGACCTGTATATCTTTCAGGGGACATTTTTCAGCCTACCACACCATCCCATCCTACCGCCGGATTAATTCCATGGTTTAATGAATGCATGATGCTGTTATGGACAAAGCGGGGAACTGCCTCCATGGCGCCCCGTCATGGAAAAGGTGAGAGGTGCTGACATCGTAGACTATAGGAAAGGCATTTCCAGACATTTTAGAACAAAGTAAGGCCACCACCAAGGCACCGTAAAGAGAAAGAGGCCTTAGGAACTGAAATTACAACTACGTAGTAATGCAAGAAGATGAGAGAGGAGTGCAAATAAAGTAATGTTTACCTGTGAATGTTTTTGAGCCCAGACTCAAAGAGAATCTATTGTAAAGATTTAAAGTGGGCACACAGCCAAAGGCAATTGTTTCAGAGCAGCTGGAACCAGCTAAGAGGAAGGCCAGTAAGACTGTAGCACCAGAATGAGCCAAGAATCTCCTAGAGGTGAGCTTTTGAGACACCACATTTGCAGCAGGAAGAACAAAGCGGGGGTGGGGGTGGGGGGGTCACACTGCGTAGAAGGTGTTTTGTAAACGGAGAGCCAAGAGGAAGCAAAACTATTCACCTGCTATTTTTGTTCTCACTTCGCCGTCAAAGAGGCGAGTCAGACAGGAAAAAATAGGTGGGACAAACGTGCTGCCAAGCATATGGCGTGTGGTAAAGGGGCCGTTGGAATGAACTCTCACCTCCAAGCCTAGAAGACTTTGCAGACTTGACTCTGAAACCAGACCCTGTAATACCTGAGAAATAAGGAGGGTGAAGGTGCTGGAGAAGGAGTCCAGAGGAGTGAGCATGAAGGAAACACAGGGACCTATGCAGATCAGGGTTCTCACATCATGACGTTCTCTGGTTTGGTGCATAATGTAGAGAACCTTCTAACTGAGGCCCAGAGAATAATTTTGAGTTTAGGGAGATTCGCTGGGGATGGAGACGTTTAGTTGAAAAGCAATAGGGAGATTTAGCCAATATTGTTATATTGAGCCAGCTCACCTGCCCTTTTCAAGAATAATAAAGAGGGTGTATCTCTTGGGAGCTCCCTGCCCCGTCTCCCATCCCTTATTCCATAAGCCAGCCTGGACACAGATCCTCTTGCCTATACTCCCCACCCCAATCACCTTCCCCATTGGATGCAAATGAGTCAGATGAAGACATTGAGCCCAAGGGAGATCCTGATGGCGCTGGACCAGCCAGAGGGCTGCCAGCAGAAATTTTAAGAGGGAAGAGACTATTTTAGGAAGTGGTAACAAGGAGTTAGCTTGGGGAGCAGGGAGCAAATGCATGCAACACTTTACCAAGAAATGTTTCTCCATCTCACAGTGAGTGTTGAGATCGTTTAGTGGACTGAGGAAGATGTCTCAAAGGATGGAGAGCTCTAAATTGGCAGAAGTCTCAGCAAACACCCAGTAGCACCTTTGTTGTTCCGAGTGCTGGGGAAACAAGGTTAGGACCAGAATGTGGTCCCGCCGCTCTAATAAATAACAGTGGGGACAGACACTGTGAAAAGACTGTTAAAAAGTGCAGAACTGCTTTGGAAAAGAGCCTGGCAGTTCATTAAACAGTTAAACATAAAATCATATTACTCAGCAATTCTGCTCCTAGGTATATAACCAAGAGAATTGAAAACAAGATGTCCACACAAAAACTTGTACACAAATGTTTATAGCAGCATTATTCATAATAGTCAAAACGTGGAAACAGCCCAAATATTCAACAAATGATGAACTGATAAACAAAATGTGGTCTATCCATACCATGAAATAGTACACAGCCATAAAAAACAAACAAGTCTCAATACATGCTACAGCATGGATGAACTTTGAAAACACAATGCTAAGTGAAAGAAACCCATTACAAAGGATCATGTACTCTATCATTTCACTTATATGAAATGTCCAGAATAGGAAAACCCATTGACACAGAAAGTAGATTAGTGGTTGCCTATAGCTGGGAGAGGATGGGAGAAAGGGAGTGACTGCTAATGGTTAGGGGGCCTCTTTTTGGGGTGATGAAAATGTTCTGCAATGAGATAGTGATGATGGCTGTGATACCAAACCACTAAATCTTAAGTTCGTGTACCTGATGCACAATAAGCCCATCACTGAGACACTGGAGCTTGGTGATGGAGAAAAGTATATTCGAATTGGCCAAAGTGAGAAGGTGGGAGGATAGTTTCTCTCAAATCCACCTTAACAAAAGAAGAAGGCAGAGGTTTTTATAGAGCTAAGGGGCTGGGCAGGAGTCGTCTTGGAGAAACAAAGGGGAAATCTGTTTCTTTCACTCCAGATAAGCCCTTGGGCAATCAGGCTTCTGAGTATCAGTGGCAGCTGGAGGCCAGTTACCTGGTGATCTTAACTTCCTTGAAGGCATTCTTTTCTTCTGCAGAAGAAGCTCATAAATCCTTGTGACCCTTGAGTCACCCCTCAGATTAAACAAGAACACAACAAATTAGCAAGATGAACTTTTTTCATCTGCATCCATGCTGGGAACAAGGTTGAAAGGTAATCATGTTCTTATTGAATATTTGCAGTAACCCTCAGGTACTCGGCTTCAGCTGCACAACTTTGTGAATATGTTACTGCACAAAACTGGGGTTTACTTGCCCAATGCACAGAGACAGCCAATTAATTACAGCATCAGCCTTTGGGAAGAGAGATCAGCTTTATCCTGTGAGATGGATCTGCAGGGAGAACAGGTGGCATGTGCCCTTAGGTCTATTTCCTTGATTCAGGATTTGGGGTGAAATTTAAGTGGCTATGGAAAACAGGCTGGCACCCGGAAATGCTGGTGGTACAGGTTTTGATTGATGGGCTTCAAGCATTTATAGAAAGGTATTAAACATTTATGACAGGGTTCTAAACTTTTATGACAGGGTTCTAAACATTTTTGATGAGGCAGGGAAGGAATTTTAACACTGGATCTTCTTATTATTTTTTATTTATTTATTTTTTTTGAGGAAGATTAGCCCTGAGCTAACATCTGCTGCCAATCCTCTTTTTTTTTGCTGAGGAACACTGGCCCTGAGCTAACATCCATGCCCATCTTGCTCTACTTTATACGTGGGATGCCTACCACAGCATGGCTTGACAAGCGATGCATAGTTTTGTACCCAGGATCCAAACCAGTGAACCCTGGGTGCCGAAGCAGAGCGTGATAACTAACTGTTGCGTCACTGGGCTGACCCTGGATCTTCTTAAACGAGGAACCCCTCACTTCTGATAAGAGTCTGATTTTCAAGTTCCAGTTGCGTCCCGGCCCTGGGGTTCTGTGGGAAGGAGGATCTTTAGTTCCATGGTCATTTCAGGTCAAGATTTCTTCTTTTGCACATGCTCTGACTAAGTGACTTTGAGAATTTTCTGAAAGGCAATTCTTAATCACTCTGTTGATAAGAGTTGGGGTCAGTTGAACTCATCCTGGAGGACCTGTGGTTACAAATATACTAAAAGCTTTTGGATTGTACACGTTAAATGGGTGAATTGTATAGTATCTGAATTTTGTCTCAGTAAAGCTGTTATTATTATTTTTTTAAGTGCTGAAATTGAGGTACACACAGGATGCTGGGGCAGAACTGAGGAGGGCCTCTAACTCGTCTAGAAGCTTCACCGAGAGCTTCCTGTGTTCTCTGAACCATTGCTAGCATTGCTCCTCTGTGCAGGTTCCTGGAGGCCCCCTCCAGTGTTGTGCTCAGCCACAAAAGCTTCCTCCAGTGTAAAATAGGAATCATCCAAGTGTGCGTGTTTCCTCCTTTTATTTGGCAAATGTAATCTGTTGCCATTTTTTAACACCATATTTTCTAGCCATGCATTCCACAAGAAATGTCTGGAAGGCTGGAAGAAGAAAGGGCAAGTGCTGATTTTTTTTCAAACTTAATCTTCTCCAATATTTGGTTCACCCTTATCACAGCTCTCCATTTCTTTCTTCCTCACCTTTTGGTGAGAATGAAGTCTTGAATTAAATGGAATTTCTAATGACTCTGGCGATGGCTATAGACCCAGGACTCCATCCTGGCAGGAATCCTTAAAGCCAAGCTTTGAGGAAAACTCAAGTTTGGGGGTGCAACAACCCCTTAATTCTCATATCTGTCTCTAAGGATAATCAGAGCATCAAATGAGGACCAAGAATATTTGACCAAATATTGAATTTAGAACTCTCCAACCACTGGGCTCATCTAAACAGCCAAAGAGCTAAATTTTAAAAGCTCATTTAGTAAAAACACTCTGTCATTGGTCCTTGCCCTCAAAGATGGCTTCTAACATTAAAACAAAGTTTGCCATTGAGGGTCTAATTTCTAACCCACTCGTCTGCTGCTAATTAAAATAAGGGCTACAGTTTGGCAACAGGAACCAAAAATGTTAAAAATGGAGAATAGAGGCGTTGTAAAATTCAGAGTAACTTCTGATACACAGTTGCAGTTGAAAAACAACTTGAACTCAATTTACAAGTAGTCAGGGTAACCTCACAGAATATAACCTTTTTCTTTTACCTGAAATATTTTCACTGGCTTCATTTTTCTCTTGCATATGTTGTATAATGTTTTGTTAACCTACATAGAATTATCTCCATCTAATCTGCATTTGTTAACGACTATTTAATCTGCGGTGTAATTGGCACATATTCAAGAAGGCTTCAGTTTACTATTTTTTTTTTTTTTTTTCAGGGAAGAATTTGCCCTGAGCTAACATCTGTTGCCCATCTTCCTCTTTTTTTTCTCCCTAAAGCCCCAGTGCATGGTCGTATATCATAGTTGTAAGTCCTTCTAGTGCTTCCATATGAAGTGCAGCCACAGCATGGCGACTGATAGATGGGTGGCATGGTTCTGTGCCCCAGGGAAGTGAACCAGGACCCCGAAGAGATGAGAGCACCAAACTTTAACCACTAGACCATCAGGGTGGGCTCAGTTTACCCCTTTTAATTATTCATTAGTTCAATAGATTTTTCTTAATACTAGGCACTGTGTTAGGTGCTGGCCAGCAAAAGGGGTAGCAGCGTGGAGAATTGCTTCCCAGATCAGCAGAGATGAGCAGCTCAGAAGCCTTGAGCTGTGCTGGGAGGGAAAGGTGTTGGCCATGCAAACATATCCCAGAGATGCTCACAACCTCAGATGACTTCTGACCTTCCTGTGAAAGCACAAGGTGATGGGTGGAGCCTGTGAGCTGGGCATTAAAAGCGAGAGTGACCCCTTTGAAGGCTAGAGAAATATGCGAGTGCAGGTCAACAGGTTCTCACAACCTGTTGGTGCGATAGATAGAGGAGGGCTTTTCCTCCTTGGCTGCACATTAGAATAATGTGGGAGAACTTTAGAAAATAATGATGCCTGACTCTCATGGCAGAGAACCGGAATTAGTTGGTCAGGGCGAGGCTTGGGCGTTGACGTTTTTAAAGCTCTCCAGTGGGAGAGCTCTACAATGGGTAGCCATGGCTGAGAACCAGTTTGAGAGGAGGAACAGAACCCCTTGAAGGCTAACGGTGGGCAGGGGATGAGCCCCACGAGGAGGTGTAGTGCCTTCCTTTCCCACAAGTCTGGGATGCCAGAAAGAGCCAGCGAGGGGAAGGATGGGGAGGAGGGGCAGTTGTTTGGGGCTGGTGTCTCTCTGGGCACCTTTCAAACAAGCAGCACACATGTTTCTGCTACCAAGGTCTTGGTGGTGGCCCATGAGATCACCTGCTGAATCCCCCTCTGCTCTCAGAATTCTTGGACATTTTCTCAAAGGTGGGGTTCTTCCTTCCCTCTTCACTTCCTAACTACAAAGTTTGAAGCCTCTGCAGCTGGTCGCCCACATCTTCCTCAATATAATGGGGCTCCAGAGACTCCACAGGCCGCGGAATCCACCCGGATGACCAGCGGCGCACAGTCATGGCCCTTGTCACACGCCCGGGGTAAGCTCTCAGCGTGGCTCTCGAGGCCTGCCTTGGGCTTTTGTTGCAAGGTTTCAGAGTTTCCTGCGGAAGGCTGAACCACAAAGAATAAGTGAGAAAATAAAATGTAAAACATTTATCACAAAGCCTGGCACACAGTCGGCACTTAATACACGGCACCTTTGTCAATATTATTACTTATTTTAAAAGAAAAGAGAAGAAGATTCAAGTACATTTAAGAGGAAGACACCTGTTGTCTTAATTCCTCAGGTCTCAAATAGTTGCGTGATGTGGAAAGAGGGATTTGAACAATCCTGGGGAGAAAAGGCCTCTGAGTGTCTGACAAACCAAGGATGCAAAGAAAAAGGAATCAGCAGGACAGCTGCCCAGGGCTGGGGTTGGTTCCTCAGTGTCCTCAGCAGCATCCTGGTGGTGCAGGGTGAATGCCGTCAGCTCTGCTCTTCTGTATCTCTCCAATTAAGTCCTGTGAAGGGGACACAGGCTCAGCCCATCTCCTCACCAGCCAGTGTGGACACTGTCCACACCAGGGTCCAGTGCTCAGCAGTCCTCTGCAGTTTGGGGCCACCTCTCAGCACAGGCAGCGTCCTCTCATGTGGATGGCCCCCAACAACACCCTTCTTCAAGCTGCAGTGGAAAGGTTACCTACCAGACAGAAAGCCACTGGGACAAAACCATTTGTAAGGTTAAGCAGCAAAATAAATGTGAGATGCCTGAACAGATTTTTTTTCTGAGACAAAGACCCATTACCAGCTCATTTTAAGAAAATACTGTGTTTGGAACACATGTGGGAGTTGACTATATGTTCGAATGATGACTCTTTGTACTCATTTGTATATTCATCACAATTTTTCCAATTTTTTATTTTGAAAACTTTTAAGCCCATAAAAAAGTTGAATGCCAGGTGCCCTTCATCTAGAATCACCATTAACTCTTCACCACATTTGCTTCCTTTTTCTCTCTCCATACACACACACACACACACACACACACACACACAGAAACATCTTAACATCCCTGACATTTAGATGTGTCAATAATTGATAATGTCGTACAGCTCAAGTGACCACATTTCTTTCTGTTTTTCCCCAGTGGAAAAATACTAATACTAATGGTTCATCTTACTGTTGATGGCATCTTAGATTCAGCAGACAACCGACTCGGTAACGTGCTGAGCAGTGTCCGGCTCACTGTCCGTGCTACAGAACTCTTAGCTGCTATTACTCTATTACCATGACGGTGAGTTTGTGGAGCCCTTCTTCTGGCTCCATCAATTCTGATTATTTTGAAGCTATGTTGTTAAGTGTATATCTGTTTAGAACCTTTTTATCTTCCTGCTGAACTGAAACTGTTTGTGATTATATAGCGGTCCTCTGTAGCTCTAGCAACACTTTGTGTCTTAAAGTCTAATTTGTATGATGTTAATTTCATGAAATCAACTTTCTTGGTTAGAATTTGGCTAGTGTATCCTTTGCCCTCTTTTGACTCCCAATATTTCTGTATCCTTATGCTTTCTGTGGGTCCTTTGAAAACAACTAAATCTTTACTATTATTTTTTTAAAATACAGTCTGACAATCTTGTCTTTCACTGGAGCATTTAGCCCATTTTCTTTTGGGTTTATTTCTGTTTTATTACCTTATGTTTTCTATTTTTCTGCCTTTTTAAATTTTTAGGTATCTTCTCCTTTCTTGTTGGAGTAATATTGTGACAGAGTAATTTTTCTTATTTCACTTTTTCCTTTTAGTACAGAGTTTCACAACCTCTACACTATTGACGTTTTGGCCCAGATGATCTTGGCTGTGTGGGGGCTGTCCTGTGCATTGTGAGATGCTGTGCAGCATCATTTCTTCCACTCACTGGACGCCGGTAACACTCCTCCAGTTGGGACAACTGAAAATGTTTCCAGACAGTATCCAAATGCCCCCTAAGGGACAAAATTCCCCCCATCTCCCATTGAGAACCACTTCTCTAGTAATGAGGTTATTCTAAAAATTTTAACCAACTTATCCATATCTCAAATTAATCAGTGTCTTTATTCTTCTCTGAAACACAACAGGAACTTTGAAATACTTTATCTTCAATTTTTCCCCTTTCTATGTTTTAGTTGTTTTTTAAACCCAGCATATATTATTATTGTTTTATGCCATCAGTATTTGTTTAGATTTACTCCTACGTTTACCAGTTTCTTTCCTATGTTTCTTCTTTCATGTCATAACTCCCATCTGGGAATGGTTTCCTTCTGCCTGAAATATATTCTTTAGATCTTTATCTCATAAAGGTCTTTTGATGTTAAATGCTTTCAACTTTTGTTTGTCTGAGTCTTTATTTTACCCCTTTTCCTGAAAAATATTTTTTGCAGGATATACAATTCTACTTTGACAAAGATTTTTGATGCACTTGAAAGTAGTCTATCATTTTTTGGCTTCTACTACTGCTGAGAAATCATCCATAAATGTCATTGTTCTTCCTTTGAGGGAATCTGCCTTCTCTGATTTTGATGTCCTTCCATTTCATCCTGATGTGATTTTTTCTTATTTGTCCAGCTTGGGATTTATTTGGATTCCTGAATTTGTAGACAGATGTCTTTTATCAACCATTGTTTTGTCATATATTCAAATATTGCTTTTGCCTCATCCTTTCTCATCTCTCCTTCTGAGACTGTGATTAGACATGGAATAGATCATCTCAGTCTATCCTTCGTATATCTTATATATTAACCTCTCATATTTTACATCCTTATGTTTCTCTGTACTGTGCCCTTGATAATCACTTCAGATCTACTCTCCCAGTGATGGTTAATTTTATGTGTCAACTTGCCTAAGCCAAAGAACCCAGATATTGATCAAACACCAGTCTGAATGTTGCTGTGAAGATATTTTTTAGATGACATTAACATTTCAATCAGTAGACTTTGAGTAAAGCAGATTACCCTCCCTAATATGGGTGGATGTCATCTTATCACTTGAAGGCCTTAAGAGAAGAAAGACTGAGGTCCCCAGTGAATGAGCTCATTCTGCCTTGAGACAGCCTTTGAACTTAACTGAAACATCAACTCTTCCCTGGGTCTCCAGCCTATCAGTCTGCCCTACATATTTCGGACTTGCCAGCCTCCATAACTGTGTGCACCAATTCCTTAAGATAAATTTCTCTCCTATATATATATGTACACATATCCTATTGGTTCTGTTTCTCTGAACCCTGACTAATACACTCCCCCTTCTGCCCACTTTACTTATTCTCTCTTCAGCTGCGTCTAATTGGCTGTTAAGCTCATCCTCTGACTTTTAGAGGACTATTTGCCATCTCTCCCCAAATCTGTTTGGTTATTTCTTAGTCTGTAATAGATTGTAATTACTGTTTCCAATCGTTTTCTCCTTGCTTGTAAGAGAATTACACATTCCCACCTGTTGCCACGTGACTTGAAGCTTTTCCCTGGGGAGCAGTACACTTCTCCACTCTGTTGATATTGGACTTGGCCATGTCTTTGGCCAAAGCAATGTGGACGGAAGTGACATGCCTCATGTCCAAGCAGAAGCTCTAAGAACTACAGTGGGGGTTGGTATCTCTTTTCCAATTTGGCACATCCTTCAGCTTAGATCCTAGAATGAAGGAGTCACTGAGATTACAGCAGACCCACAATTGACCTCCAGCCACACATAAAATGAGTGAGAAGCAAGTCTTTGCTATTAAAAGCCACTGAGATTTGGGGTTCACGTGTTACCAAAACAAAGCTGAATTGCTCAGCCTCTTGTGTTTTCCTGACATTACCAATGCCTTCTTACATTTATTTAACTATACTAAGCACACTGTATATTCTCTGACTGTTTATGTCAGGATCTGAAGTCTTTGTGGGTCTGGCTCAGCTGCTTGTGGTTTCTGCTGGCTCTTGCTTATGATGCTTTCCTTTGGGGTTTTGTGATTTCTAACAGTTAACCCCGGGTTTTATTTGGTGACCCAGATAGTGTGATTTGGGGCTGCAAACCAACTGTTTGAGATGATAACTTCTTGGGAAAGATATACTTTGCCCTTTCAATCAGAAGACAAAACCAAAACCAAAGAAGTTCCCTTGTGATCCCTGGTGGCGGTATGTAATAGGTTCAATCCTGACCCCCAAAGATACCAGATTTTAATCCCTGGCACCTGTGAATGTGACCTTATTTGGAAAAAGGGTCTTTGCAGATGTGATTAAATCAAGGATCTTGAGATGGGGAGATTATCCTGGATTATCTGGGTGGGCCTTAGATGTGAATACAAGTGAATATGGAGGTGGAAATTGGAGTGATGCTGCCACAAGGCAAGGAACGTTGGCATTTGGAAGAGGTGAGGAACAGAATGTCGCTTAGAACCTATGAAGTCTTTTTCACCACCTTGAATTCGGCCTAGTGATACTGATTTTGGACTTCTGGAGTCCAGAACTGTGGGAGAATAAGCTTCTGTTATTCTAAGTTCCCAAGTTTGTGGTACTTTCTTTTGGCAGCTGCAGGAAACTAATACAGGGTGTGATGTGATTCATTTATTCCTAGTGCGCCCTTATACAGAGGGGGTGGCTCTTTAGGACTTCAGATTTATGCGGGAGGTCTCCTTTAGATGCCATCTTGGCTGAGCCCTGAGCTTTGTCTTCTGTCCCCTGAGCCCTTGTGAGGGGCTGAAATCTCCAGGCTTTGTCAAATGCCCTCAAGGTGAAAGGTGGCACTGGACCAGCTCCTGTGGGTTTTGGCCTCTGAATATTCCTTCTTTCCTTGCTGGGAAACATTGTTTTTAAAACATTACATGCAGCATTTTTGTGGATTTCATCTGAAGGGCAGGGAGGTTGCCTAATCAGCCACATTGTGGGAAATGGAATTCCTTATCGCTAAGATCGCTGATATACTGCAGCTCAAACGTCCTCTTGCTGTTTGTCATGCCAGAGACATGAGCACATTTCATCATTAAAGAGTCTCTCAAAAGATAAACAGTTACTAGGAGGATGGCGAACACGTGGGAGAATGTGTTTTCAGCACTAAGCAAATATCCATCAGTGGTGGGAGATGGGGATGCATGTGCAAGGGGGAGGTGAGCAGACAATGGACAGTGTGTTTCTCAGTGGTTGGAGTCCTTGGTCACTGAGATGCCTCTTGGTCCACCTGCACAACACAGAATACGAGGGTCTTCCCCAGCAGGGTGGGGCAGCAGCCCAGGGATCAGCTCCTGGCCCAGGAGGGCCTGTGCCTTTCTCTCCCCTTGTCTTCCCTGCACTGTGTTTCTCATTCCTGGCACAGGAGACTGTTAGCCCCTCAGTCTCCAACTGTCTCCCCCAGAAGCCCTTCAGGACCTCCCCACTCTGGAGGGAAGGTGTGCTGTCAACTCCCTCTGCTAGGAACCCCCCCAGACAGATGTCTCATTCCTCTCACTCCTGCGCCTGATCAGGCGGATTTTCAGGACTGGGAAACCCACATCCTCTCTCTTTTCCTCTCAGAGCCTTGCTCAGGGTTTCAGTTACAAACATTAGAAACTGCCTGTGGCTGATGTACGAGAAAAGGTGTTTCTCAGTAGGCGGCTGGGGAGCTCACAGCATCTCTGCAAAGGTTGGAGGAAGAGGCTCGGGGGGGACACAGGCAGGAACAAGGTCCAAATTCGACCTAGTCTGGTGGGGACATCCCTGCTGCTGGTGTTGAGTCCCCCTGGCCACCGGACGCTTCTACCAGAACCGCTGCCTCTGCGGCTGTCTCCTGTCTTCTAACTCAAGGCTGGGCGGTGGCCTGGGTTGTGTGCCCACAGCCCAGCAGCAAGGGGGCTGGGAAATGAGCAGGCGGCATTTTGAGCCCCTAAAAAGGGAAACGGGGTTACATTCACAAGGTAGGAGATTCCTCAGACATAAGAAGGGGATTCAGATGCAAGGTAGGCAAAAAGAATGCCCAGTGTCCACGGCAGGGAAAGGCTGAACGAGAGCATCTCCTCTCTTCTCCAGAGCCAGACGCATCCGCGGGGTGCAGAACTTGACAGGCCTCCTGTCCCTCCACATTCCGGGAGGAAGAGCTCAACTGGGGAAGAGAATCAATCTCTCCTTTGTCCTAAGACTAGCCCCAGACCAGAGTAAGATCTCTGGGGGCATTGAGAACTGAAAACGTGCTGAGTGCTCCCTTACAACGTTATTAAAAAGAATTTAAAAATGCTGAACTGGAAGATGAATACAAGAAAGATCAATAAACTCTTGACTTTTCCTCCATGATGCTTCATTTTTGAAATGTCAAATTATCTCAAAAAGTGTTTTTTCTATTTTTGGGACCTTTGATGAATCTGCTTTATTGGGCAATCTGGCACAGAGGAAGGGACATTTCTTGCTGACCTAAGTCTGTGGAGCTAAAGTCACACCCATGAGATTATGTTGCTGGTAAGAACAGCTGCCATTTATGTGGTGCCCACTCTGTGCTGGCCCCGGGGTAGGCATTTTTCACGGGATATCGCTAATCCTTGTCCAGGTGAGGAAACTGAGAGGTCATAGACCAGTACGTGTCTGAGGTGGAATTCAGAGCCCAGAGCCCTACTATTCTTTGAAGCTTCCTACACACCAAGAGCTCGCAGACGCTATTAGGTCCTCACACCTGGCATGGTTCCTGGGTGACGGCGGGCAGGGACAAGGAACACCTGTTGAATGAATGGATATCACAAATGGCACACAAGAGCCTCATTCAATATGTGACAACTATACAAATGTGTTATCGTTAATACATACAGATTAAATAGAGAACAAAACTATAGAGCACCAGCACTATATAAGACATACACAGGTAGAAAAATAAATCCAGTCGGAGTTTCCCTGAGAATCCAAACACCCACGCTCCGTACAGTGTCCGCTGACCCCTTCTGAGCTGACACTGTCTTTCCGATCAGTCTATCGGTGGTCTGACAGGATTTTACAGCATCTCAGTTTTTATTTCTCATAATTAAAAGTTGTTCTTTATATTAGCAAGCTTCAGGGGCTGAAAATTATACTCTCAGGGGCCAAGTAATTTTTTCAATCATTAAGGCCTTTCTAAAAGAGCAAGGTGCCAAGATGGAGTATTTTTGCGAAGCGAGCCTTTGAAATCTAGCTCTTTGCCTGTTCGGACGCTGTCGCAGCGTCTGAGAGTTCTAGAGTTGGGGTTTGCCCAGGTGGCCTCGGCCCTTGTTTGTTGCTCTGATCATCGTCCGAGGCAGATGTGAGAAACAGGGGGTCGCTGTACCCAGGTGAGTGTGTTTCCTCCCCAGAGACGAGCTCGAAGGAGCCCTGCTCACAGCGGGTCCCGAGGCTGCAGCCATCCCCTGAATTCAGCTTGCCGTTTCCAGAGACTTGTGTAATGATACTCAGTTTGTCAAAAACTTCATCCTCATCAGAGAGCGGGAAAGAGAAGAACAGAAGCTTGTTGTGATGTGGGTGGCCCAAAAACTGTAGGAGAAAAAAAAAGAAAATTAATAAAAAATGTTCCCATTTCTTTTTCTGGGCTTACAACGATTTTATACAGAACTCCTTTCTGGAAAATGTTGTTTTAAAACATGTGACCATGACACTCTGACAGTTCCTCAAAAAATTAAAAATAGAATTACCATATGACCCACCAATTCCACTTCTGGGTGAACGCCCAAAAGAACTGAAAGCAGGGTCTCAAAGAGATATTGTACACCCACATTCAGAGCAGCATTGTTCACAACAGCCAAAGGTGGAGGCAGCCCATGTGTCAATCAACAGACGAATGGATAAACAAAATGTGGTATGTCCATACAATGGAATATTACTCAGCTTTAAAAAGTCATGAAATCCTGATATGTGCTACAACACGGATGAACCTTATGCTAAGTGAAATAAGCCAGACACAAAAGGACAAATACTGTATGATTCCACTTGTATCATGGACCCAGAGTAGTCAAATTCACAGACAGAAAGTAGAACGGTGGTTGCCAGGGGCTGGAGGGAGGAGAATGGGGAGTTATTGTTTAGTGGGTACAGAGTTTCTGTCTTAGAAGACGAGAAGAGCTCTGTGCATGGATGGTGGTGATAGCTGCACAACAATGGGAATGTACTTAATACCGCTGAGCTGTATACTTAAAGATGGTTAAGATGGTAAATGTTATGTTATGAATATTTTAACACAATTAAAAAAAATTTGACAACAAATCTGCACCTCATTTGCTAAATGATCACAGGTTGCCCTCTGACAGTTCCTCTTGTAAACACAGAGGGAGATTTTTAGGACGATCACGATGCTGTGGGGCTGACACAACCTGGGCATCATTTCCTCTAGGAAGCTGGGATGTCACAGGCCCAGGATAAATGTGTCTTGGAACAAGCAGAACCTCTCCTGTGTCCTCAGGCTAGGTCAGGGGGCCCTCGTTGGTGCTCCCCAGCATCCTGTGTGTCCCTCAGTTTCAGCCCTCAGCCCTGTACTGTCCAGTAGGGTAGCCATGAGCCACATGTGGCTACTGACCCCTTGAAATGTGGTTTGTCCAAATCAATGTGGGCTCTAAGTGTGAAATACATACGGGATTCTGAAGACTGTACAAAAAATGTAAATGTTTCAACAATTTTTAAAAATATTGATTACATGTTGAAATGATATTTTGGATATATTAGGTTACATAAAATATGTTGTTAATATTAATTTCATCTGTTCCTTTTTACTTTTTAAAATAATGTGGCTACTAGCAAACGGAAAACATATGTAGCTTGTGCTATGTTTTTATCCAGCACATTTGATGGACACTGACTCCTCACAGTTTGTGTGTCCCAGTAGACGGGGCTAGCCATGCACAGGAACCATAGCCTAATCATTCTTGTCTCACCAACTGTTTGAACAATGAAGATGCCCATCTATCTTTCCTGGAATATCTGATTTCATGGTCCCCATTTTTCATCTTCATAGGTCCATACTCTTAATCTTCAGGTTGAGATGGAGAAACATTCTTTAAAGGTTTGCATTTTTAACTTCTCCCCTCCAACTATTTACTCCTAGTTGCACCTGTAATCGATCAGTGTGCTCCTCTCTTAATGTAATCTCCACACTCAAGCCCTTTGATGTGACTTAACCAAGCCCTTGGGTGCACTGCCTACCAGTGTGAACTTGCAGGACTCCCTCCCCCCCCACCCAGTTACTGACCCCCACCTGCCTCAGCCTTGACCAGCAGATGGAAGGGAGGGGGAGGGGTAAGAAGAATTATGTCCAGATCTCTGTTGGGCAAGAGAGAAAGCTGGAAGGGGTGAGAACCTCCCCAAATCCTCAGATCCAGAGGATTGCTAAGAACAGATTGGAAGCTACCCTTGCTTTTCCTGGAAAACGGGAAAAGGAGAGAAGAACAAAGGAAGATGTGCTAAATCTCAAGAAAGCAAACAGCAGGCTGGTCTCCTGGCTGGAGGCACGCACAGAAACTGGCGAGCTGGCTCAGTCTGTCTGTATTGGATAAATCTCCCTATTGCTTTTTCAACTAAGTCTGCATCCCCAGCAAATGTCCCTAAACTCAGAATTATTCTCTGGGCCATGGTTAACAAATTCTCTACATTATGAGTCAAACTGGAGAATCTGGTGATCCGAGGACCCTGATTTGCTGCGTAGTTCCCTGGCGTTTCCCTCGTCCTCACTCCTCCAGGCCTTCTCCAGCACCCCCACTCCTTGTAGTTTTCAGATATTCCAGGGGTAGGCTCCAGAGTCAAGTCTGCAAAGTCTTCCAGCCTTGGAGGCGGGCGCTCACTCCAAATAGCCCCTCTGGATGGGATGACGCTTGTCTCCAGCTTTGGTTTGCTTGGCAGCATGTTCGTCCCCTCTGTCTTTTCCTGTCTGACCCCTCTATTTGATGGCGAAGCCAGAAGCAAACCTAGCAGGTGAATAATTTTGCTTCCTCTTGGCTCTTCATTTACAAAACACCCACCCGGTGCAAAGGGCCCCCCCTCCTTGTTCTTCCTGCTGCAAATATGGTTTCTCCAATGCTCCCCTGGCTCCAGACTTGGACTGGCTGAGCCCTTTGTGGTGACTGTACCACAGCTCAACCCTCTCTCTCCTCCATCCTGCTGCTCTCACTCCCTGAGAGGTATTATTCCCAAGGGTACTCCCCATTGAGCCTTCTGAAAGCAAATCTCCATCTCAGAGTGTGTTTCCTGGGGAATGAGACCAAAGATAGGTTCTTTTTAGGCTGGGCTTGGCATATTTTCTTTTTCTTTTGGCTGAGGAAGATTTGCCCTGAGCTAACATCTGTTGCCAATCTTCTTCTTTCTGCTTGAGGAAGATTCGCCCTGAGCTAACATCTACACCCATCTTCCTCTATTTTGTATGTGCGTCGCAGCCACAGCATGGCCAGTGACAAACGGTGTAGGTCCATGCCTGGGAACCAAACCCAGGCTCATGAAGTGGAATGTGCCGAACTTAACCACTAGGCCATGGGGCCAGCCCATGCATATTTTCAACTTTAAGCGTTAGTGTATATCCAGAATTTCATTTCTTTAGGGCCTCTTCCATCATACAGTCTCTGTCCAGGTAGACCCTTTCTTCTTTCTAAACCTTTTGAAAAGAGCTTTCCTAAAGTCTGGGATACACATCCCATCATTCAGTCACTCTCAGATACACCCAAACTGAAAACGTGCCTGGCTCTCCTCCCATTTTCTCTGCCAGGGTTTTCTCTTTCTCACCTTCTCCACTCTGAGCTCTGCTTTTTCTCTTCCTGTCCTGGAACCTCACCTTTGCTCCCTGACCCCATGGGTGTTAGGCAGGGAAGGTCAGAGAAGGAACATCCAGGTTGCAGGAAGACCTTCCAGAACAAACCTCTGCCTCCTTCTTCAGAGCTGTTCTGTGACCACAGACTTCCCTGAAATGGGCATCGGGGGATGGACCAGGAGGCAAGACGTGTGCCATTCTCCAGGAAAGGATGCTGTGCTGACTTGGGCACTCCCGACGTCCAGGAAAGCCCTTCCAGTCAGGGTTTTCTCATCTACCTCTGGCTCCAGCCTACCGCCTACCTCTTTCAGGTGCTGAGGGAGCACGTTCCCCGGGGAGAAGGCGTACTTGGTCTTCACGTAAATGCACCACACCAAGGCGATGCAGCCCAGGAGCAGCAGGAAGGCCGCACAAACCGAGGCAGCGAGGATGACAGCGATGATCCACGAGGAGGGTGTTTCTGCAAGGACAACGGGCTGTGTTATGCTCTTGTCATGTACAGACCTGGTCACAGTGACCTTTAACGCTATGTTCACCATCACAATCCCGTGGCAATCCCTGAGAACAGGGCCCACATGTTCATCTCGGGAAGGCGGGAGGATCTGTAGCGGCTGCTCGAGGATCCAGAGACTTCCAACCAGTTTCATCCCTCTCCTGTCTTCTTCTGGTTTGCTTACTGGCATGACTGCTAATATTCTCAAAAAGAGTAATAAGCAAGAACTCCAATATACTTTATCTACTTGCAAGGTAGCAATGAGTGTTCCCGTTCTGGATAAACGTCTTTTGTCTTAAAGCAGAAAACAGGATGCCCCTGGGTCCCAGAGCCCGACTTGAACACAAGCACGGCAGCGCCTTCTACTGAGAACTGCAAGAGCCCTTGGCACGGACGACCCCATCCAAACCCCTGCACTAGACACTGGCCCAAACGCCAGCCTGAGGCCGCACTGCTGGGACCGCCCAGCACCAGCCTGGAAAAACCCAAGGCTGCCAAAAGAATTAGCATTTGTTCTGCTAATATCTGACCTTCCTTTCTTAGAGCACTTACTATAACAATTTTATGATCGTAAATCCTTCCTCTGTCCCTTTGGGACGTACATGCTTCTCCTACAAGCCAGCAGCCTCTTTCTCAAGGACCTGAAAGCCATTCCTTTAAAACAGAATCATCAGGAAGGGGTGGCCTGTCTCCCAGCCTCTGTGGGAGGGCAGAAGCCTAACTTGACAAACATCAGTTAGCATTGGACACAGATGGCCAAACTGCACTGACACTGACTAGCCCTCTCCTTCGCTTTTGCAATTTTTCACTTCCCTGACTCCGCTCCCTTCCCCCCCTCATTCTTCCTTTAAAATGCCCAGTCAGCTCTTGCCCCTCCTGCAGTCATCACTGAATAAAATCTGTTTTGAGTGCTCTAACTAATGTCTGTCCTTATCTTTGACATCCAGAACATTGCCCTGGTCATTGGCAGTCCTAACTCCCTGGTTCGGCACCAGGCCTCTTCCCCAGCTGCTCTGGCCACCTAACCTCCCTGTGACCAACCCCTGGCAACCAGCCCCACCCTCCTGATCAAAACCCAAAGTGTTTGGTGCTGCAAGAGGCCAAGAGAACAAACCCTGTCCTGTAAGAGCAAGTTGTTTGAAGGGGACTATCTGGGGGGGAAATGTCAATTCCTACTTAGAGAGAGCAGATCAGAGAACCCTGGAACAGCAAATGGTCCTGGAGTGACATCAACGGCCGTCACCTGCTGGGCCCTCGCAGCGCTCACCACAGGGTGGGGCTCAGATGCTCCCTAAATAGCTGATGAATGGATATGGCATTTCTAAGGGGCAAGAGGCTAGGCGAGCCTACCCTTTCCCCCTTGGTCCTCTCGTTTTGCAATTCACGCTAGCAGTGACTTCAAAATCTTTCCAGCTTGTCCCCTTGCTGAGTTCAGAGCAACTCCTCATCCCAGTTCCCCTATGAATTTTCGTTTCATTTATTTCCACATATTGAGGTATATGGGGGTAGCTATGCTGGTTTAAAACTGATTCGGCTTGACGTAAAGAAGCCTGACATATGGCCTATCGCACATAAGGTGGTACACCTGCTTTACCCATTAATGTAAAGAGTGCATTAAACATTATCTCAAAGTAAAAGAATGTACTCTTCTAAGATAAGAGGGCATCCTTCCCCTTCTAGGAGGCCAGGATCCGTACGCCTGCATCAGTACTCCTGAAGATAAGTTCCCTTTCCTGGACATCAGGGTCACATTGATCTGCTAATTTGCAACTGCATATCTCTTAGAAACCTTGATGATTATGTATCCTGGGCATGTTTAATGTCTCTTCTTTGTTCTCAAAAGGTCTGAGACTGTACTGGGAACCACGCTTCTCCAGAACGCTTTCTCCCTTTGTGGAGACGGCCTTCCCGGGTTATAATCCTCACCCCGGCTCAAGCAAAACTCACCTTCTCTCTCTTATGTACAGAATGGCTCTTGGTTGTTTGTGTGGACACTAGAATCAATGGGAGGTGTTGCCTAACCCACACTTGAGTCATGTTAGGCTCAGACGTGTTTTCTTGGTGAATCAGGGTCATGTGGCAAGTGAGCTGTGGGGAGTGGCCCCCAGGCTGTATCCCAGCTAATAACAGGAGGTCAGATGGGGATCTGACTTCCCAGCTCGGAAGGATGTTCCGGGATCCCACTCATCCATCTGTGGTTCCATTGAGTATTTCAGGAGCTCTCTCAGTGTCACGATCAGAATCTCTCATTGAATGCTGATTAAACACTGATTGCTGGGCCCCACCCTGGCACTGTGGATGACATTGTGATGACCCCCTGGAAGGCAACATTTGGGTGTCCTTGTGTCTCCAGCCAGGACGTCTTAGCATCTTAGACAAGGACATTCCACAGGCACACTTGGTTGATGGTGACAAAATTCAAAGGACACTTTTGTGACTCACCCCGAGGAAGGAGAGAGGACACTGCTTTACACAGGCTGTGAATTGTGGGAGAATCTATCAACCAACACCCTCTGGGTAAAACTCTCTAACTTGTTTCAGTTCCATCTGACCACGTTGTCTGGCAGACAATCTTTCTCTGTTTTATCCTCAGGGAAATCAAGCCTTTGTTTACCTATGGAATACATCTGTAGGTAGTAAATTACAGGAAAGACAACCTGGGCTTAGATGGGCCTGTGTTCCATTTCATCCCTGTCATTTACTAGCTGAGCAACGTTTGGCAAGTTACTTCACCTCTCTGAACCTTCATTTTCCAGTCTGTAAAAGGGAAGGAGATCCTTACAATGCTCTCATTGAAAACGTGGTGTGAGGCTTAAATGAGATAACTATGTTTAAACAAACCTAAAATGATGTTTGACAGAAGCAGGTTTTCAATGGGTTAGACTTTTCCTTTCCTTTTATAAAATGTGTGGATTTTGTCAGTTAATGGATGATCATTTACAGCCAATATTCGAAATATTTTTCTTTTTGGTCAAATTGTACACCTCATGCCGTGTTTCATGACATAAATGGTTGGGAATATTTAACAATGTGATTTTAATAATGTCATTAATAATAACAGTAAAAATATGTAACATGTTTTAAGGGCTCATTCTGTTGGTCTCTGTTCTGAGTCCTCCCAACCCCCATGGGCGGTGGCACCATTTTATTCCCCCATTTTGCAGAAGAGGTGGCTGAGGCATGGGGCAGTTCAGGACTTGCCCCACCTCACACGTTCTGTTGCAGTTCACAGTGGCGAGGGCAGGGGCACCAGGTGATCAGGACATGTACTCAAGGCCCTGGGAAGGCAGAAGGAAGATGCTTAGAGGAAAGAGGGATGACTTCAAGATCGGAGATTCTAGTGATGCAAGCAGAATGGGGGGGTTCCCAAGGTATGGAATTCTGATTCAAATACAAATGACTCAAAAGAGGACCAAAATGAGGAAAAACATCAAGAGAGTCTGTGAAAACAACCTATGGCCCAGAAAATAACTGGAGGCACAGAAGAAGTAGGCTTTCTTGTTATTTAAAGGCACTGTTGACAGGCTCAGCCAGCTCAGAGCACGGAAGGACTAACACAGGCAGGCCCACTCAGCCACTGACCTGGGGCCTGTGGAGGCAAGGCCCTGAGCTGAGGCAGCAGAAAAAGGGAGGAGAGCGACAGAGAATTCCCTAGAGATGGAAAGACTCTCATCCTCAATGGGGCTCTGCAGTCTGAAGGAAGCTAATACAATTGCAGAACAGCTCTGGATGGCCCTGGAAAGACCACACACCTGACAGAGGTGAAAGAAGGCTGAATTCTGGCAAATAATTTGTGCATTTACAAAAGAAGGGAAAAAAAATAAAATAAAACAAGACTCAGGAAACTACAGGCCAGGAAGCTTGATGTTTACTGATGCTGATCTCCAGAAAAAATACAAATATTCCAGAATGGATAATTAAGTGGCTAATTATAGACCTATAAAAAAAGGTAAGGATGATAACTAAAAATAATAACATTAGGGCACCAAGCAGAAACTAGCTCAAAGTGGCTGCCTTTCCTTTTTTGGATACGGTTACTTGTTGGTAAATTATGGCATATTATGGGCTGGTTTTTCCCGAGCTGTATTTCTTGGAATGCTAATTCTCAAAAGAGGTGTTGAAAGATCAAATAGGCTAAAAATGCTAATATACAGGGCCACTTTTTGAGAGGCAAATACGGTGCGCCACCATTTCCAAGCACACCTGACTACAGGGCTCCTCCCTTGAGACATTTCCATAAACACTCAGGGAACACAGTTGGGGCAACGCTGCACTTGGCACTGGGTATTGATTTCAGCTGATATTTGCCAAAGTCTTTCACAATGACTTTGTGGACCATAAAACCAAGTAGCCTATATCCACTATGTTCACATGGATTGGTGACCAAAAAGCAAGAAGCTAGGCAGTCTGGAGGAAGGTATGTCCTAGAACACAGCAACAGTTTAAATGGCAACTGGTGAGGATCCTGAAGCTCTTCCTTGCAAGTCAGTAGACGAGACCAAGCAAAACTGGGTGAGAAATACGTCCAATGACAAAAACCAACATTCAAGAAGAACGTGATCAGCTGCAATGAAGAATCAAGACGGCATCGCAATTTTCTCAGAAATGCACAGTGACGCAGAAGAAGAAAAGCTCTGTGCTCTTTCTGGAGGGAATTCTTTCTTAATCTCCTTTGTATTTTTGTAACCCCGGATCAGTGCCTTGCTCCCAGGAGGGCCTGAAAATGGCCAGGAGTGGGCCCGCACAGATTCATCCTTCTGTGGTCTGAGCTGGCTGAGCCTCGTGACAACATCTTTTTTTTTAAAGATTTTATTTTTTCCTCTTTCTCCCCAAAGCCCCCCAGTACATAGTTGTATATTCTTCGTTGTGGATCCTTCTAGTTGTGGCATGTGGGACGCTGCCTCAGCGTGGTCTGATGAGCGGTGCCATGTCCGCGCCCAGGATTCGAACCAACGAAACACCGGGCCGCCTGCAGCGGAGCGCACGAACTTAACCACTCGGCCACGGGGCCAGCCCCTCGCGACAATATCTTTAAACAATAAAAAGGCCTGTGGCCACGAGGCGCATGAAAAGATGTTCAACATCACTGATTACCAGGGGAATGCAAATCAAAACCACAATGAGATATCACCTCACGTGAGCCTGTCAGAATGGCTATTAAAGAAGACAAAAACACTAATTTGAAAAGATAGATGTACCCCTATGTGCACTGCAGCATTATTCACAACAGCCAAGACTTGGAAACAACCTAAGTGCCCATCAACAGATGATTGGATAAAGCAGACGTGGTATGTATATATATATATATATATATATATATATATATATATACAACGGAATACTACTCAGCCACAAAAAAGATGAAATCTTGCCATTTGTGATAACATGGATGGACCTTGAGGGTTTTACGATAAGCAAAGTGAGTCAGATGGAGAAAGGCAAGTACCACATCATTTCACTCAGATGTAGAAGATAAGAACAACAACAACAAGCAACACACAGACACAGAGAATAGATTGGTGGTTACCAGAGGGGAAGTGGGCAGGGGTAAAGGGGCACATGTGTATGGTGACAGATGGCAACTAGACTTTTGGTAGTGAACATGATATAGTCTATATAGAAGTTGGAATATAATGATATACACCTGAAACGTAAATAGTGATATAAACCGATGTTACCTCAACAAAAAAATTAAATAAAAAAAATTAAACAAAAAATAAAAATAATAAAAAGTCCTGTCATTTGCATGCAGACATCTAGGCCACAAGTTTTTATCACCTTGTATGCAACTGCAATGCGTCTGTATGTAAATCATCTCAGTGTCTAGGGCAACTGGTACCCTTCCCTCTCTCTCTTTTCCTCCTTCTCTTTTTCTTTCACTTCGTCTTTTTTTAAGAAACACCAAGTGTGGAGGCACTCTGCTAGACACTGAGCTCCACGTCACATGTGAGGGACTCTGTTCAGGTCCTGGCACCGTATTTTACGAGGGACCCTGAGACAAGCAGTGCTTGCTGAGGATAGTGATAGAGTTTCCAAACTCTCCCCATCATGTGTATGAAGGAATTGGAGGCGTGCAGCCTGGGAAGGAAAGGCTTCTGAGGGGTGTGACAGGGCTCGACCTTGCTGGGTGGTCTTAGGAGGACTGACGAGACTTGCTTTGGGGAGCCTGAGAGGACAGAATGAGCGCAGTGGAGGTGGGCGCACCGAGGGAGACTTCAGCACCGTGGACAGAAGCTGTGTCCATCAATCCCTTGGGATTAAGAGCGAAGAAACTGGCTCAGAAGGTGGTGGTCTCCTTCCCAGCATGAAGTCCTTCAACCAGGGCTGAACCAGGTTGGAGTTTGAGCTGGATACGATGTCTAAGGAGGCTTCCAACTCGAACACCCATTGGGAGTCCATACAGCTGTTTAAAAAGCCCGGGGGGGGGGCTGGCCCCGTGGCCGAGTGGTTGAGTTTGCGCGCTCCGCTGCAGGCGGCCCAGGGTTTCGTTGGTTCGAATCCTGGGCGCGGACATGGCACTGCTCATCAAACCACGCTGAGGCAGCGTCCCACATACCACAACTAGAAGAATCCACAACGAAGAATATACAACTATGTACCGGGGGGTGTTGGGGAGAAAAAGGAAATAATAAAATCTTTAAAAAAAAAAAAAAAAAAAGCCCAGAGGGGGCAGAATCACCGGGGGTGCATCTCAAGACTCACCATCAATAGTTGTTTGCTCACAGACAGGCTCACTCCATTCCCCGGTTTTGTTCCGCTCAGGAAGAAACCCTCGAACTTGAATACAGTAAGTTGTCCACGGCTCAAGATTTCTGAGAACTTCAAAGTCATATTGACAAGTGATCGGATACTAGTAACAAAGACAAAAATAAGAACAAGGCTCAGAGTGAAGGGACACCATCTCCCCCCGCCCCAATTTAATAGTTATAATATTTACTTCAGGCTCAAAATAGGAAGATGAAGGAAGCAGGTGCTCCTCCCAGTTCATTTCGGGGGACCCTGATACCATTCTCAGGGATGGGGCAAGGACTGACCGTGATCCTGATAAACCCTCTCATACCCTGAATTCTCTAGTTTAAATGACATGCAAACCATCCCACCTCCCTTTTTTAAAAGATAAACCAGTTGTATGGGTTGAACTGTGTCTGCCCGAAATTCATATGCTGAAGTCCTAACTCCTAGTACCTTAGAAAGTGACATAGTTGGATATAGGGTCTTTATAGAGACAATCAAGTTAAAATGAGGTCATTAGGGCAGACCCTAATCCAACATGACTGGTGTCCTTATAAGAAGAGGAAATCTGGACACTGACACACACAGGGAGAACGCCATCTGAGGATGAAGGCAGAGATCGGGGTGACGCTTCTACTACCTAAGGGACCAAAGATTACCAGGAAACCACCAGAACCTCAGGGAGCGGCATGGAACAGGTCCTTCTTCACAGTCCTCAGAAGGAATCACCCTGCTGACACCCTGATCTCAGACTTCCAGCCTCCAGAACCTTGAGATAATACATTTCTGTTGTTTGAGCTGCCCAGTTTGCGGTGCTTTGTTACGGCAGCCCTAACAAACTAATACACCAGGAAGACTCAAGATGGTTTTCTTTCTAAGTCAAATCATGTTTCTGACTCTGGCTGCTGGGTTCTCCTCGGAATCACTTCTCTGCTGGTGCACCTGGGCTGTGCTCCCCAAGACGCCCCACCTCACCTCGAGGGCACATGCTACAGCCTGTCTCTGGTGCAGGCAGCTCTGACTCAGCCTAGTTTAATTCGAACGTATCATAATGGATGACATATTCCTGAATTTGAGAAACCAAAATAGTTTCAGGCAAAATAAAGGAAATTAAAAGAGTATATATTACCTGTATTTCCACCATGGTTATAATTTCCTTATGGAAGGGTCCTATGTAAAATTTGTTACATGAATAGGAACTTCAATATAAAGTGGACACAGACTCTTTTCTACTTTAGTAATTAGCTATTTTTCATTTGTGGTTGGGTTTGTTGACATCTTGTCTCAATGAGAAGCCAAGCTCATTGAGGGCAAGAATTGGATTATACCAATTGAATACATAAAAAGTACAGTATAGCTTCTAATGATTAACAATAATAACAGGGGCTGACCTGGTGGTGTAATGGTTAAGTTTGCATGCTCCCCTTTGGTGACCCAGGGTTTGCTGGTTCGGATCCTGGGCACAGACCTACACACCACTCATCAAGCCATGCTGAGGTGGCATCCCACATAGAAGAACTAGAATGACCTAGAACTAGAATACACAACTATGTACTGGGGCTTTGGGGAGAAAAAAAAAGAGGAAGATTGGCAACAGACGTTAGCTCAGGGCCAATCTTCCTCGAAAGAAAGAAATAAACACAAAAAGTCCTGGCTTTCATTTTTAGAAATCCAATACCTCGAAAACCTTACAACGCTATTTTTTCAAAGACTGAACTCAGAGGCTGGCCCATAAGTGGCAGGCAGGGAAGAAGGCGGCACAGATGTGAGGGGACCTGCTTACGTCCCTTGGATTGCTTTTTCTAGCCTTTCACTTCTGGGCAACTTCTGGGTTTATCTTCTCACTTCCCCCCATCAGGAAGAAATAGAATTTCCAAAAGTCTTCTATGCTCTTCATTTAGGGACCTAACACGGCGCCTCTCAGAAACATGTGCATTCTCAAAGGGAAGCTTATCGTCTTATTCCTCCAGGCTGCTGTAACAGAACACCACAGACTGAGTGGCTTACAAACAACATTTACGCCTCACAGTCCTGGAGGCTGAGAAGTCCAAGTTCAAGGCACTGGCAGATTTGGAGCCTGGTGAGGACCGCTTCCTGGTTCAGAGCTGCTGTCTTTTGCGTCCTCACATGGTGGAGGGGCTGAGAGAGCTCTTTGGGGTCCCTTTTACAAGGGCACTAACCCATTTATGAGGGCCCCACTTTGACAACCTAATGACCTCCCAAAGGCCCCACCTCCTAATACCATCACACTGGGGATTAGGTTTCAACACACGAATTTGCGGAGAAGACATACACATTCAGTTTACAACACACAGAAACTGGAAACGGTGACACTGTCGGCACCAGTGCGGGAGGAACTGGGGCGCTGGCAGCCTTTCCAACACTCTCCGCATGTCACATCAAAGGCTTGCATACAACAGCGTGAACAAATGGGTAACCACATATCTGTGCTGTGGGCGCATTCTAGACAAGAAGCTAAATATAAAGTGGGTTTTATGCTTCATGCCCAGTGCAACAGGCACTCAGGCATGGTAACTACAGAATCCCATCCTTATTTCAAGCACGCTGCTATGTCCTTCAGAGGGCCAATCCTGTCTTATCTTTGCATCCCAGAGCTTAGCAGAGACACCTGCATGTGATAAGTGACAATGAAACTCATTTTTCTGTATTGTTTTCTAGGTGCACATTTCCTGGGGTCTTGACTATAAGCAAAATAATCTATTCTGTGAAGAAGGCAGATAGCCCTCATCATTTTTAATGGAGCATTTTTTGGGTGGGAAAAATTAACTTGAGATTTTTTGGGCTACACAGTATGCACATATAAATTTAATTACATCACTCCTAAGGCAATACATATAGGGGACCCTTTCCTCCCAAACTCTTGAGAATTAGGTGATAAAATCAACATTTAACGTAGAAAAGATAACATATATGTAACTTAATTTACATAACATACATGTAAGTCAGTTTAGGACCAGAGATGGCATTCAGCTCAAAAGCACTAAGTATAAGAATAAAGCTTGACCAAGGATGAATGAAAATGGCCTTAAGATGTCTACATAAGGGGAAGGGAACCTCACATATCGACCATATACGTTGTTCAGGCAATGGGACAAATTTATTTTTTTCATGTCATTAAATTCCACAGCAATCCTATGAAGCAGGTTATTATCTCCACTTTATTAATGAAGTGAGTTATTCTGCTCATTTTGCAGACATAAGGAAGCTGAGGTTAAGAGCATGACCAGAGTCAGTGACAAGGGCCACATTCCAACCAGGCCTTTCCAATCCCAGCCCATGTTTTTAAGGGAACTATCCTGCGAAGAGGAGGAGAGCAATGGGGAAAAGTGGGGTCAGAAAGTAAAATGTGATCCTGTTCATCCAGCATCCATAGGTGGGGCTGCCCTGACCATGGACTTGACCATTCTGTGGTGTACGTGGGGAGCAAGGGTTCGTGACATGAAACGGTAGTCATTCAGCTGACCATCTGATTATGCAGACTCCAAGTTCCCCCAGCCAACTGCTGAGTCAGCTCTGCCTTCTCCTGGAACTTCCCTTCATGGAGAAAAAAGCCTGCTGTCACTGCACTAGCAAGCTTGGAAGTCTCTACACATTTCTGTTGGCGTCTGGGAAGTGCGTGCCGGAGATACTGGTCATCCTTCAGATCGGGAACTTCCGGTGCTCAGAGGACCAGGCCTTGGACCCTCTGGACGGAAAGGTGCTGCCGCCTTGCAAGACCCTGACTGGATGACCTCCTGGCCTCCTCTCTCCATTGCCAGGGACTCAGACCAACACTGAGCAAAGAACAGGGAGCTTACATCTCAAATGCATACAATTTGCCGAGCTTACCTTTTCATCAGAGCCGTTTTTCCAATATTGCACATTATAAGCCCATGAGTTATAAATGTTCTTCATGGTCCATGTTTCAGGTTCATTCTCAATTTTGGGGGCTAAGAAACGCAGATGTAAAGAATTAGCAAGTGCTTCTACTTGCATTCCAGGAGGTCCAATAACGGCTAAGTAAGAGAACAAAGCAAAATGACAATCAAAAATCACATTTTTAGAAACGTCAACATTTATTTTTCATAACTGTGTAGATCACTTGGTACAGAAGTGCTCTGCTCTTTGATATACCATCGCTATGATGTCGATCGACGTGGCTAAGGAGGGTAGCTGGGTTTTATTTCTTAAAGAAAATCTGATAACCTTTGCCTTTATTAATCAGGTTTAGTCCATTTATATTTAATGTGATTTCTGATATATTTGGAATTATTCCAACTACATGATTTTGTTTTTCCTGTAAAGACTGCATTTTTTTTCTTTCATTTGGGTTGAATTTTCTCTATTTCCTTTGCTGGGTTGGAAGTTAAACATGGTATTTCTATTATTTTTAGTGTTTAACGTATATAACTAACCATATATCTTTTCCAACAAAGTCTGAAGCTGTTGTCTTCTGAACGCTCTTTTATAAATAGTCACGTGGCTGGCCCTTTCACTTTGTTTGGGTCTCGGTTCAAACATCACCTCCTCAGAGAAATTGTCTCTTACACCCTATATAAAGAGCAGCTCCCAACACTTCCTGCTCCAGCACCTCGCTTTATTTTCTTGAGAGCCATAGTCACTATCTGTCATATAATATGTGTCTATTTGTTTATTATCTGTCTTCCTATTAGAATGCATGCCCTGAGGGGATGGACTTTGTCTCATTCACTGCTGTAGCTTTAGTACTAAGAATGTACCTGGCACATAGGTGCTCAAAAATAATCGTAGAATGAATAATAGATGGCTCTGGATAAGCAGGCTGTTTGAGTTATAGCCTGTATTCTTCTCTGGCTGTTGTTACTTTTTTGGGGCTGCTAATGGGCCTGCTTCTGGCATTCTACCCTGTTTCTAACCTGCTAGTAGCTGAAAATCAAATAAGAAAACTTAATTAGATATTTTCCCAAAGCAAGCATAAATAGGTTCCACATGACATCTTGAAGGACATTCCTATCATAAACTTCAAGAGGCAAATATCCAGTGTAGGGTAGTCATTGCTAAGAGTGCAGAAGCAGGAGCCTGGGTCTGACTCATTGATCGGCCACTCATTACCTGTGTGACCTTTGGGCAAGCTGCCTATCTATTGTGTGTCAGTTTCTAAAGGGAACTTCCACAGATGGGCCCTAAAATTTGGAACCAGTCAGGACCTGGTAAATCAGTTAGCAATTATAAGAGCAGAAACCTATACTACGTTTTGGAAACTTGTTTATTGTTAAGCTGTTCGTATTTTTTAATGTTCATTTTGCCTTAGTTTATATAAAGATACCTTTAGGAAAGATAATGTAACTGATAATTTCTGACTTCAGAAATAAGAGTTCTTTGCCTGAGCCTGGGACAGAATCGGGAAAGGGCAGAAGGGCATCCTAGCCACATTTCCTACCAGGGAGGGTGAACTTGTGGGAGCCATGGGGGTCCAGAGCAGGGAATGGAATACAGACCCCTCCCTACATTAACAATCCTCCTAACGCTTCTCTCCATCTACTCCTTGGAAGGCTGCACTTGAGTTCTTATAACCCCTTATCCTTTTATTCTCTCAATTGCTATATGGTGGTTTAATTAGTTTTCCATTCCTGATATTCTAATTGAGTTCATCTCATGACCTCTGGTGGGTTCCCATGACCCTCCAGATCTAACTTGGGAACACTCTTTTTGATGTTTACCAGTCAGCCTGACTCAATCCATCTGCCCTCAGCTGCATCCATGTCTCTATCCTTCATTCCAGACAAGCTGGCTATCTGCGTCTGGTCTTCCTGTCTCCACATCTGTCTAGAATAACCTTTATTCTTCTGCCTATCATGTCACATTTCTTTAAGTCAGAATTCCAAACTGACTTGCTCCCAGAAAATTTGCAACATTAATCTTTTCAGTTCTTCTCATTAACAGCACTGGCCCCAACTCATTCTCATCCTCAAGGCGTTAAAGTTATTACACGTATATTTACTTATTTTATTGACTTTATACTTATCCTTTTGTCTCTCCCATGAAGTTCTTAAAAGCCACAGCCCTCTTTATTATCTTCCCTAAGCTTCTTGTGCAGGGCCACCCCCTTTGTGAGCACTCAAAGATTTCTTGTCGATGGGCCAACCAATGGGAAATCAACCATGCAAGATGATGACATTACAATGAAATGGGAAACAAAGCGGCTTACTGTCATCCACAGGACAGAAGGTGATGTTTACCCAGTCTGAACGCTCGTCCTCAAATTCAGCCCTGACTCGCAAGGTATGGTAACCATATTTGGAAATACTTGAGAAATCACATTCCATCAAGGTGGTACTTGTGCATATATCTTCAAATTTCCTATAACTACAAAATCAGAAAGAATCATGAGAGTTCTAACTCCAGTCTCTCTGAGGCTGACAGGGGCTTTAGTCCCCCTGCTAGCAAAGGATAATGGAGGATAATGAGAGAAAAATAAAGCAAATACTTAATAATCAGTTTTGATGAATAGTAGGCATCAATTATATGAGCATTTTCCAAACTGTGCTCCGTAAAACCTCAATGAGCCTTGAGATATCATAAGATGTTTGAAGCCGGTACCTGAGGGTTACTGTATATATTTAATAAGAACATGATTACCCTTTGACTTTATTCCCAACACAGACACAGATGAAAGGAAGTTAATCTTGTTTAATCCGAGGGGTGACTCAGGGTCGCAAGGATTTATGAGCTTATTTTGCAGATGAAAAAGAATGCCTCCAAGGAAGTTAGGATCAGCAGATAACCAGCTCCCAGCTGCTGGTGATGCCCAGAAGTCTGATTGCCCAAGGGCTAAGTTTGATTGCCCAAGGGCTTATCTGGAATGAAAGAAATGCTGATTTCCCCTTTGTTTCTCTGAAGTTCCTCCTCCCAAGCCCTTTAGCTCTATAAAACTCCATGATTTCTTCTTTTGTTAAGGCAGATTTGAGAGAACCTGTCCTCCTGCCTTCTCGTTTAGGCCAGTTGGAATACACTTTTTTCCATCTCCAAGCACTGGTGTCTCAGTGACTGGCTTATTGTACATTGGGCACAGGAATTTGAGATTAAGAGGTTCAGTATCAGTTTCAAAAATAATCCATCCCGTGGTCAAACAATTTTGGGTAAAAACTGGATGAAACATAAATTGGTGTCTGTCTTTATGAAAGAACTTCTCAGAGACTTTCACATCCTAATGAACAGGTGCCCCTCCAAAAAGGAGTTGAGTATTCTACACATTTGACCAAGAAAGATTCCTTTCTTGACTGTGTATTTCTGAAAGCAGTGGGGCACAGTTTGTGAAATAACGATATACACAGATTAGCCAAAATAAGTACCTTACAATGATTTCAAATAATATCCTGTAGGTGACAACTGTTTAATTATTCTGGAAAAAGTATAAAACAATTTGTTGATCTCAGATCTCTAGCCCTGACACCAAACATTGAAGGGAGGGTGGCAGAAACATAAAATGGAAGAAGCAAAAGGATGGTTGGAATTACCTATCAGGTGCTGTAACTTAAACTTACAACAGCCTAAGGAGGTGTAATAAGTTCCACCAGACTTAAGGAAACCCAAGCTCCTGTCTTGCAAAAAGTTAAGATTTTGTCTGACTGGTTCCTCAGTATTCCTTCTGCTCTTGGTGCCAAAGCCAATTTAGCTGCTCTTAGAGATGACAATGATGGTGATGCTGATAAAAATAATAACAGCCAACACTGGTCAAGCACTTAAGACACTTAAAGGCATCAGGCAGGGCGCTAAGTGTCTTATCAGTATGATGTCATTGAATTTTCACAACCCCAGGTGGGCAGAACTGAAATCACTCCTATTTTACAGTTGAGGCACAGACATGGAGGGACTAAGAAACTTGCCCAATGGAACTCAAGTTTGACTTTAGAGCCCATGGTCTCAGGCACCATACCACACCCCGTTGTGCTCCTATTAGGTAGAGATAATTAGGTTCATACTATTTTACAATCTGCCTCTTTTTCACTTAATATACCACAAACATTTCTCCATCAATCATCTCTTCATGGCTGCCTCACATCCCATCATTTGGAAAATCCAGGGGTCGTTTCATTAAGGGGGCTGTCTCACATAGGGTCATTTCCTTTATTTAAACCAACGCATCACTTGGCTGGAACATAGAGTATTTCAAAAGTTGTTTTGCAACAACTTCTCTTTCACTAGGTTGTTTTTATGATATTTTAAAATATTTTTCTTCCCAGTAAATAGGTAATATGACCCATTCCCCATGTTTATCTAATTGTTTCAGACAGTTCCATGTTAAAGTCACTAACACATCCTCTCAAGTGCCCCTCCTCTGGCCACCCCTACCCAATGCACACATATAACAGAGTTTGTGCTATGCAACCGCTCAGCCTAAATTCTAAACAAACCTTTTACAGCGCCATAGAAAAGCAATCAGCACCAAATTTCTTCCCCAAGGACACACTCAGCACAGGTATGTTTGGTGTGCACTTCCATGCTGAGGAGACTGGAACCCAGCCATTGACTCTCAGTTATGGGGGAGTCACTGGAACTCTCATCTAAAAGACGAACACCCCTACTCCAAAGGACAAGAAGCAAAACACAAAACAACCGAGAAATAAATGATGGGGAGCGAGGCAGACAGAGAGGGAAGTTAATTTTTCACAGTGAAATCTCTAGAGCTATCAAGATTGAGTGGAGAAAACACAGAGATGACATGATAAAACCAATCAGTGCTGGAAAATCTACCGCAGGAAAAAAATAAGTCGCAGAATGACTCTGCTTAAGTCCTTGGGAAAACTGACAAAACTGGACTGTGGACCATAGGTTAGATGAAAGTATTTTATCAATGTTAAAGCTGCGAATCTTGATAACTGTACTGAGGGAATGCAAAAGATTATCCTTGCTCTTATGAAATACACAAGGAAATATTAAGGGGCAAATGCATTATGTATGCGAGAGAGGGAGAGAGAAAATACGGCAAACTTGAAAAACTGGTGAATCTGGATGTGGGCTGTTTGGAAGTTCTTTGTACTATACTTGAAATTTTGAAATGTTTTGTTAGCTTGGAATTACTTTGAACTAAAAAGTTAAAAAAAATGTAAACAAGGACCATCTTATTCATCCTTCTACTTTTTCTCCCACTTAGCAGGCCTTGGATATGTTTGTAAAATGAAAGCTGGATGAGAAAGAGTATGGGATTAATGGGATCTTGGACTCACATTTGGTCCCGCCCCACTGACGGAGTTGTCCATCTTTGTATGTTTCTGAGTCACATTGGAAGCAGTTGTGTTGGCTCATCAGCCTTTGGCCTCCTGCAGCTGTTGGCACCCGGCACAAAGGTGGGTCTCCTGAAGTCCAGCCTGTGCTGTATGACGGCAGGCTGCCAAAGGAGGGCTGGCACAGGGAAAAACTGAGAGGCAGGGCAGGGGGATGAAGCACCACTGAGCCAGCCGTCTTGGGTGACACTCACCCTTCAGGAGCCTCTGCTGTTTTCAGAGAACAGAGCTTTTAACAGCCAGTAGCAGCCTTACTTTCATTTTCAGGACGTAGCCATGAAGTCACTGAGAACGCACTATGCAAATTATCTGCACCCCACAGCCCTGGAGCACGCAGTCACAATCTATTGGAGGGAGTGGGTGGTAAGACAGCAAGGGTCTTCCTCACTGCTTTGCATACCTCAGTTTTCTTGCATAGCTTCCAACTAAACATTGTTGATTTCTAGCAATATTACTCGAATAACTGGAGATGTTATCAGTGGCATTTTTCTCTTAAAAAACATCTATTGTGACAAACATGATATGATCACATTGCAGTAGGCTACCACTGCAGCTGATAACATCCACGCCCACATGACGAACGGCATGTACCAGTGGCCCTGTGATCACTGAACCATGACTCATCACACCAAGAAAAAATAAAAAGGATTTTACTTGTCTGTTTCCAGAGAACAGAGCTTTCACAAGAATTTCCTGGACAGAAAGAAAAAACCCAGGACGGAGGCTCCCCATGAGCTGTTGTGGTCACGTGAGTGACAGCAGTCAGCCTCTCTCCTGTGGCCCAGCGCAGGGCCATGATCCTCTGCTACCTTCCTGCTAAGCGCCTCAGACCCATACAGGAGATCAGAATTGGCCAGCCCAAAATGCGTCTCTTTGGCTTAATTATTTTTGAGGACAAAAGATTCTGAAGGAAACTTTGACCTTCCCCCTAACTGCTTAAATGAATTCAAGAGAGAAGGCCTGTCCCCAGGACAGGCCATCACCATAGATAACTCTGGGTATAATAAACTGGGAGGCCCATAAGCCCATTCTTATCAAAGTTCTCTCTCTCAGGTCACATGGTCTGGAGATGGCCCAGCAAACATTTATTTATCAAACATTTACTTTTTCACCCCTACGTGAATTGCCTTCCTCCCCTTCGAAGTCCCAAACTCCTACCCGCAACACCCTCCTTTGTCTTTATCAGAAGATGGTATTTAAGGTGGCAGCCTCAGCCTTTTTGGTGAGTTACTGAGTTTTCTTAGGTTTCTCCAATGTATACATATTATTAAACTTTGTTTGATTTTCTCCTGTTACTCTGTCTGATGTCAATTTATTTCTTAGACCAGCCAGAAGGACCCGGAGGGTAGAGGAATTGTTCTTCCTTGCCTACACCCACCTTTGGAACTGAGCTGTGAAAGTCAGATCTCCTTTGGGAAAAGCAGGTGACTCCCACTGTAGAATGTTCCTGAAATTAACTGAATTCATTCTGACATTTTCAGGAGGTGGCACCATTCCTAATGCTGTGAAAATAAAGGGAAAACATTTGTAACTTTTTTCCTCAAAGGGGATGCCCAAACAAATGACCATACACTACACTCAGGTCTCCCCTAACGCTCCAGGTCTTTAAATGGGCATGTGGGTGAGAGGCAGACACATGGTAACTGTGCTGAGGAGGCTGGGTTTTATTTGAAGAGCCACGGGAAGAAATTGCTGGGAGGGGTGGTGGGGCAGAGAGCAAGAGGGAAGTGGGGATGGATGAGGGAGACGTGGATTTGGGTGGTGGTAGAAAGCTGTGAGGGGCTGGGTAAGTGGATTTTAGCTCTATTTCCAGAGGTATAAGCTCTAGATTTCCCAATAGCTGGGTGTGGAGAAGCAGAAGTTAATATCCATTCCTGGCTTAAGCATCTGATGCCCTGATTGGGGCTGGGGGCAGGGAAATCAAGAGTTCCATTTAAGAATTTGCATGGGATCTGAGATGGGGGAGAATATTCAATTAGGAATGTCAGAGACAGCTGGAAGAATGAGCCTGGAGCCCAGAGGGCAGATCTGAGCTAGAGATACAAATCATTTTTAAACTTTTAAATAGAAAATGTCAAACATACACAACGGTAGGGAGAGTATAATAAACCACCACCGGCCCATCACCCAACTAGTGCCAACAGAGTTTTACAGTTGAGAGCCACTGGTCTATAGCTGATATTTAGTGCCAGGGTTCTCCTGCTCTCCCCCACAGGGAAACGGTAGGGGAAGAAGAAAAGCGGGCTCCGGCAGGATCTATATAGATATCTGGGAGAGCCTGAGGACCCCAAGTAGAAACAGCGTGAGAGGTAGGAGGAAACCCGGCGAGTGTGGTACCCTGGAAGGCCAGGGATGAGTTCATCAGCAAGGAAGGACGGGTCCATTGTGTTGTTTGAACCTGGGCAGGCAATTTAGAGGAGTCCAGAAAAGGTTTCACAGGATTTAGAGCTCAGAATCCACACAGCTGCGGAGTTGAGGAGCAGAATTCAGATCCTGGGGTGCTGAGGGCTGAATGGGAGATCCTGGAGACCCGATCAGTGAGCCTATGGGGTCCACTCGGGGGTCCCCCTTGGGGCCATCGCGGCCGCGCGTCGTAGCCAAGCGCACCTCGCCGGGCCTCCCGGTTCCCAAGCGCACCCCGGGTCCGGACGCGGCGCCAAGGTGGGTCGGGGTCCCTGGGCCGGCAGTCGGGCCTGGGGAGGCGCGCGGACGAGCCCGCGCCCCGGAGATCGCCCGGAGCCCCCTCCCCGCAGACCCCTCACCTGACACCAGGAGGCAGCCGCCCAGCCAGCTCCAGAGGCTCCGTGCCATGCCCGCGCCGGGAGCCCAGGAAGGCACTCCGGGGGCCGCCGGGCCCAAGCCCCGGTGCCCGAGCCGGAGAGCGCCAGCCCGGCCCTCCCGCAACCAGTTCCGGGAACCTGCGTGTGGCAGGGCGATCCGGGGCCCCGCCCCCTGCGGCCCCGCCCCCGGGCGCTCACCAGTGTCCGGCCCCCCGCCGGGGTCCTCTTGCGCCCCCGCGTGCCCTGCTCGAGAGGTCGGTGTCACCGGCTTGGCAGAGGGCGACGCAGAGGAGGAAGGGGACCTTGCCCCTCCCTCCGCGGGAGTGGAAAACACCGCTAGTAAAACAGGTTACAAAACTGTGCGCACAGTGTCCCGATTTGGGGGACGCCCGCCAACATTAAATGCATGCTTTGAAAGGAGCGTACAAATTAAATCCATACACCGCAGTGCCAACCCGGAGGCCATGTCTGGGTGGTGGAACTCTGGGTGCTGGTGGGTTTCCTTTACGCCATTCAGTATTCCCAGGTTTTCTCCAGTGAAGCAGCACGGCCCCTATAATTCTCTCTCCCCACATGTAAAATGATTTTCAGGCACTCTATCAGCAAATCAAGCTGCAGAGGGTCTTCTTTACGCCCCCGTCCCCCCCCCCCAGACATCAAATAGTCCCACTGGGTCACACACAAGGGCTCAAAGTAGTGTTTTTGAAAAAGTTAAGCAAGTATTTAAGAAACTGATTATAAAGATCTTGAATACTAGCCTAAGGGAATGTTGGCTTTTACATAGGCTCACAAAAATCACTTGCAAAGTTGTTGTTGTTGTGAATTTCAAATATACAAGTTTAGGATCCACTCTAGAGATTCTGATTCACAGAGGCTGAGACAGGAGACTATTTTTAAAACAATCCACAGATACAGTACTGGCCTCATGGGCCCTATGCAGTCTCAGGGCCCCGTACTGAGTTTAATACTCTGCTGTAGCCATCATGAAATTCTTAATAATTTTATCATTAACCTTTTTTCTGCTGCCATGCCTTGTCACTCCATTCATAGATAGTATTCACAGTGGCCCACGAGCACAGAATTCCAGTGGACACAAAATGTGTGGAACACAGTAAGACTCACAGGGAATACAAGGCAAGCTCATTATGTCTATGACTGAGTGAGGAAATGGGGGGTGCTGACAGCTCCCCAGGGGCCATGCTTTCTGCTGGAACCAGAGTTTGCACTGAAGGCAGAAAAAAAGCAATGGTATTCTAAGCAACAGAAACGACCAAGGGATCCTGTCACATCCTTTCATCCTTGTGCTACTTCTCTGTATTGGCCAACCATT